TTTTTTTTTTTTTTTTTTTGTTGTTGTTGTGTTCCTTTGACTGCTTGAGTTTTAATCCATTTTTTATATTTTGGGTCTCTAAGAATGTGTATGTCTGTGTAAACTTTGATCATCCCTTAATCCCCTGGACTCGATCAATGTCCCTGCGGTGAAATATATTTCTCACTCCAGAACAACAATCAATCGATGAACTGTAAATACCACAACCCAGTACGGAATGGCGATATCACTACACTAGTCATGACTCTCAAATTCATTGTTGTTGAATCATATGACATCAACCCCCCTATGCACCAAACCCTAGTATGGTCATGAGAAGCTCGACAACTGGAAGTCGACTTGTTCAATCCCCTGGATGACTCACGATGCAGCCCATAACTATCCTTGAAAACTAAATCCACCTGGACCACCACTCACTTCAACCATTGAATACTGTGCAGAACAGAACTGCGCACACCCCGTAATCCGCACCAAGCGAATATAGCTCAATCTCCTACATGCCACAACCATGGCATCTACTCCCGTCAGCACCACAGTCCCCAAAACTGACCATGCACATACACAACTTCATCCTCATCTATACCGCACAGCAGCTGATCCCCGACCCGTAGTTCTAATGACCTGCGGCATCGCAGGTAGAACCCCCTTTCCCCATGGACTTGCTCTCCACATCTTCAGACCTAATCTGTTATCAGGTTCCGGGAAGTCGTCACTGGCTCACTCCATCATCTCTGCATATCCATCCTTCCACCGTCTCTCCATCGACTACTACGTCTATTCCCGCCACGGCCTCTACGACGTCGACTACCCTAAAGAACAATACGAGGGATACCAGCTCGAAGCCGAAAAAGCCCTACGGGCCGAACTGATCACCGCATTGACCAGAGGACAGGTAGATCTGGTGCTTGACTTTTCGTTCGCGTTCCGCGCGGTGCGTGAGGAGTGGAAGAGATTGATTGAGGGGTTGGGAGGGAGATGGGTATTGGTGTTTTTGGATGTTGACGCTGCTGAACTCCGACGGAGGGTTCAGGCTCGGAATGAGCGGGTCGATAAGGATGGCGACTCGGCATTTTATGTCACGGAGGAGATCTTGGAACAGTATCTGGAGGGATTTGAGAGACCTCATGGGGAGGGCGAGATTGTGCTGTGAGGGGAGGGGACTTGACCAGTGGTCTTATTTGTTCTTATGATGTGATGCGTCGATATGAAGAGTTGTATGTAATTGACCTGATCTGGAGTCGGGTGGAGATCTGAACAACCCTGAAATGGGTGGTTTGATGTGCAAATGCTTTATATTGTATGGATAGAGGTCTACCATGTGCTTAAGTATGACCGATTGGATTTTATGGTTCTCGGCAATTCAAACGTTGCCCTAAGTCAGAGCGGCTCCTGCAAAAGAGGCTATCTAATACAAAACTAGCCCTTACGTGGCAGGGCAAGGATCGAAAAATATTGTCCATCTTATCCTGAGCAGCGAGGCTGACATACAGATACGATAGAACCGACCACAAGAGAGGTTACCGGGGCAGAACTCATAAAAGTAACACGATAGATAGACGCATGGATTGCCTTCTAGTCAGATCCAACGGCGTTCGGCATGGTGGCGACGCGGGTTCAGCAAGTCCTGGCATACCCTTGCGTGTTTAGGTCAACTGCCGTCGGAAGACACTACTAGTAGTCTATCCCAGTCAAGGCGGACCCCTGGTCCCTAGGTGTACCCCTGCATGCATCTCCAGGCCCCCTGCATTCAGGGAGCAGTCCCGGACAGGCTCTTGCCCAGTAATCCAGATGGCTCTTCTAGGCTGCATCCCGTACATTCAAGTTTCGAGGTTAATGGCGGCTTGTGCAGTTAGACTAACAAATCCTACAAGCGATGCGCACCCTCAGTGTCTGACCATCACAGACATTCGCTCAAAATTCCGCAACCATCTCCCGGTGTGACCTTGGGTGAAATGCAGAGCCAGCAGATCCCATACAACATTGCCTACAAATACTCCTACCATGGACTATTTGAGCCCTCTGCTCTATAATTTACGAAACGCCTTCTCATTGGACGGTGTTAAGATCCTTCGAATCAACTCTATCATACGCCTATAACCTTCTCTAATGCCATAAGCTCTCTTGACGTTAATATAGATAAGGCAGAGGGCCTTTTAACCGGGTCAACTACCAGCATAAAACAAAGAATATCTCTTAGTTGATCCAGCATCTCCACCTTTTGCAGCTCCACATCAAAAGCTAAGGTTACTTGCTTATTGATGAATGGAGAAGCATAAAAACAAGGAGGGAGGATATGAGAGCCTCCTTTTGGCACGGGACTCTCCACAGGTGTGGCTGTGTGGCTGTGCGCCAACACCTACCACCATTTAGTCCCTATCGTCTCCTCATGCCTGCACCGATCCTTTAGCTGCTGGGGGATCTTGGGATACGACGGAGAGGAGGCTTTAGATGGTCAACTGACTTAAAGTGAGAGATGGGGGAGGAAGAAATGGTCACAGAAAATTGATACATCTCATGATCCACTACAGTTAGGTATATTCTGTGAATTCCTTCCACTGCTTCCTCTACTCCTGTTCCAGACCATCACTCCGAGAATCCAGCTCCACAACGGCTTCACTGAAGGTCATCAGCCGTTCGCCAGGTAATTCGCGCAACGCGTGTCCCCCCACCATCACCTGATCCCATATGCGCTGAAGGTTAATGAGCCGTGACTGTCCGTACATATTTTGTACTGTGACCCACTCCCGCCTGGTGCTTATGAGGCTGTTTGTTGCAGGGGATAGCACCTAAGGGTCCAGACATCTGCCATCGCAGCCAGGAGACATGGGAAACTACAGCAACTGTGCCAGGGCAATCCAAAGCGCCAAAGGAAACCGTACAACTCTGTGATGACCAAAACCAATATATTGTTTATAAGAACTTCTTTTCGTTTCTTCATATATCAGCAGATGATTGCTAGACACTTGACAGCTACATAGTTGGAGTTTCGAACCCTGATACACACTTATGTAGGAGAGAATATGTAAGTTTCCAAAAACGGTTGGTGCGTATATTCGCGAAGAATTCAAACCATTGACATATGATTTAATATGGTACTATGCTCTAAGGAGTCTAATCCTTACTCTCTGACAGCCGATTGAATAATACTCACTGTATGTTAATCAGTGTCGAGAAAAGCATCAGAGTGCTAAGTAGACCATCTACAGAAGCTTCAAGGCAGTACGTAGCTCAGGAATTATCTAAGGAAAATCTACCGTAATGCCATTGAATAATACCAAGAGTGTGTGAGGGATTCATCATAAGTAGAGTAAAGCATCAGACAAGTCCTTTGTGTTCCTAACAGTGCATATTTCCGTTTGGTCTAGACGTGTCTCGCCGGATCAGAAGTAAACAAATGGATCATATGCTGCCTTGGCGACACATCTTTTATTGTCTTTCTAGTTATTTGGGTATGGCTCAGGAATACCTTTCTGGTCAGCGCCAGATCACTCCCGGATCGGTCCGGGAGCGATCCATAGAGAAAGTCCTCGAGCTTCCGCAGGAATGCTATTCATGAGAAGTACAAGTAGAAGAAGGATGCAGCGTTCTAGAAGTCGTGATTGTTGTCCATTCGCAAGACTAACCCAATCCAGCATAGCGCCGGAAGCTGCCCACATCGACCCATCAATGCCCTAAGTAACGTTAGTTTACTCCGTAGCTAACTAGTTAGTTCACTAGATGACAAAGAAAAACGGAAAAAAGGGAAAAAATGCGAGTATTAATAGAATCTTCGGAGCGTCGGTGTTAAACCAAACACGAGATATGGGGTCTGTTACGACATAAATTACCAATAAGATTAGCCTTGGCGTGTGGAATGACACTGGAGGGTTCATTCTACATGTGAGATATGGCAGTGAGTCATGATACAGAGGACGGAGTAGATCGAGCAGATTGAGAGTTTGCCATGACAGCGAATCATTACCGTTGTATCTTGATGCGCAAGATCGTAGTTGATAGTTGAGATCCATAGAACAGAGACCGACGCCACATGGTACTTGCGCAAGGGATTCCCAGGAAGTAGACCTGTCAAGTTGGTCATCTCATGCGTCATGAGCGCTTTTCATTTCCTCTTTCAATAAGCTCACCCGCTTCAGGGTCTGTCGTGCTTGTGATGGCTGTGTCCGGAATATAGATAGGAACAGGAACATGGACGAATGCCGCTTAACAATCGGCTGACGTCAGAATCGAAAGGATTAGCTAGACGACCAGGGGGCAAATTCCGAAACAAAGAAAAAGGAAATTTCTGCGCCAGAGTCGAGACTATCAAGATTAATTAGTATTATCAGATCGGAAGGAAAAGAAGCGGACAAGGCGTCGGCAGACAGCCCCCGGGCTAAACCAAAAGAGGGAAGGACCGCTGACTCAGCGGAAGCATTCGGACTCTGAACACCCCTCCCAGCCAATCAAGGGCGCCGATGCCCTGACAGCCGCTGAGTCATCGGAAGGGAAAACGAGATTGGCCCCGGTCGGTCGGTTGAGGACCGACTCCGAACCCAAACTATCCAACACTAAGATTCCTGATCGACAAATGAGTTTGCCGTTCGACACGCAAATTCTGGAAGGGGACTTCCATGTCAGCTTGAACGTTACCCCATTCTCATCCGTTGATTGGTTAAGTTGAGACGAGACAGAACCTGTCGGAGATAACCACTGGCTTCGGGCCCCACCGCTCGGAATATCGACTTTTTTCACTCCTTTTCCACGACAAGAACTTGGCTGGTCACCTCTAAGCAAGATGAGTCGCCTGATCAATCCCAATAAACTATGGAGCTTGCTGGAGCCTCGATGCATGCCTGGTGGGTCGATTGGATGTGAACTCGGTGCCGGTCTGGTTTCAAGCCCTCGGACCCACCCGAGGGCAATGTGCTTATATACTTCCTTGTCCGTCCCATCTTCGTGAGGGAAGATTTTCTTTCTTGGTGTCAACCTCGCCGGAAAGCTTCGTCCAGACTGATTGCGGTCTAAGCTTCCCTCAAGCCATGGAGGGCCAGGACTACTACCCGAAGGCACCGCCTTCGGACAACAGAGATGATACCGACAGCACAGCTACGGTGATGGGTGATGAGTCGGCGCCTACCCCCCGCCCTGCCAACGTCAGCCGCGCCGAAGACTGGAGCCTGATGCCACAAGTCAAACAGCAACATGAACGAGACGTGGCATCTGGTTTCAAGGGTCGTGAACTCGGCGTCACCTGGAAAAATGTCAACGTCGAAGTGGTTAGTTCCGAGGCCGCCGTCAACGAAAACTTCTTATCCCAGTTCAACATCCCCCAGAAGATCAAAGATGGTCGTAACAAACCGCCACTCCGCTCGATTCTTCAGAACAGCCATGGCTGCGTGAAACCGGGGGAGATGCTCCTCGTGTTAGGTCGGCCAGGCTCAGGTTGCACGACGCTACTCAAGATGCTCGCAAATCGACGACTCGGGTATAAATCGGTGGAGGGTGACGTCCGCTTTGGCTCGCTCACTCATAAAGAAGCCGATCGTTATTGTGGCCAAATTGTCATGAATACGGAAGAAGAACTGTTCTTCCCCACCCTAACAGTTGGTCAGACAATGGACTTCGCAACCCGGCTCAAGATTCCTTTCAATCTGCCCAAAGGCGTCGAGTCAGCGGAAGCGTATCGCCTGGAAATGAAAAAGTTCTTGCTGGAAGCCATGGGAATCTCGCACACAAACGATACGAAGGTCGGTAACGAGTATGTTCGAGGTGTTTCCGGTGGTGAACGCAAACGTGTCTCGATCATAGAATGTATGGCCTCTCGTGGGTCAGTATTCTGCTGGGATAACAGTACACGTGGTTTAGACGCCAGCACTGCTCTCGAATGGGCCAAAGCCATTCGGGCCTTGACAGATGTTATGGGCCTGTCGACTATTGTCACGCTTTACCAGGCGGGCAATGGAATCTATGACTTGTTCGATAAGGTACTGGTTTTGGATGAAGGCAAGCAGGTTTACTACGGGCCTATGTCCCAGGCAAGGCCCTTCATGGAGGACCTGGGTTTCGTCTGCCGCGAGGGGTCTAACGTAGCGGACTTCCTGACGGGTGTGACTGTTCCCACGGAACGCAAGATCCGGCCCGGATATGAGAACCGATTCCCTCGAAATGCCGACATGCTCCTGACGGAGTATGAGAAGTCTCCCCTCCGTACTCAAATGATGGCAGAATACGACTACCCCGACTCTGATCTCGCCCGGGAACGCACCGAGAACTTCGAGATGGCAATCTCGCACGACAGGAGCAAGAAGCTGCCGAAGGGCAGCCCGATGACGGTCGATTTTGTGCAGCAAGTCAAGGCGTGTATCGCTCGTCAGTACCAGATCCTTTGGGGTGATAAAGCCACTTTTATCATCAAACAGGTGTCGACATTAGCCCAGGCCTTGATTGCAGGATCCCTGTTTTACAATGCGCCCAACAATTCGGGAGGTCTATTTGTCAAGTCTGGTGCTCTTTTCTTTTCCTTGCTCTATAACAGTTTGCTGTCCATGTCTGAAGTGACCGACTCATTCAGTGGTCGGCCGGTTTTGGTCAAACATAAAGGTTTCGCTTTCTTCCACCCCGCTGCTTTTTGTATCGCTCAGATCACTGCCGATATTCCGGTCCTCCTGTTCCAGATCAGCATATTTTCCCTTGTGGTCTATTTCATGGTTGGCCTCACAATGAGTGCGTCTGGCTTCTTCACTTATTGGATCTTGGTTTTTGCTGTGACAATGGTAAGGGCACCCGCATGCAATCTAATCATCAAAGTTTGAAGTGCAGCATTGAGCTAACGGAATTGCACTATATAGGTTATGACCGCATTGTTCCGTGCGGTTGGTGCACTCTTCACGACATTCGATGGCGCGTCCAAGGTTTCCGGTTTCCTCATTTCTGCCCTGATCATGTACACCGGCTATATGATTACGAAGCCGCAGATGCATCCCTGGTTTGGCTGGATCTACTGGATTAATCCCCTTGCATACGGGTTTGATGCCCTCCTTTCGAGCGAGTTCCACGGCAAGATCATTCCTTGCGTGGCCACCAACCTCATTCCTTCTGGTCCTGGGTATGAAAATGTCCCCGATCATCAATCCTGTGCTGGTGTCGGTGGCGCTATTCAAGGAAACAACTATGTGACCGGAGACCAGTACCTGGCTTCACTGTCCTACAGCCACAACCATGTCTGGCGTAACTTCGGTATCCTGTGGGCCTGGTGGGTTTTATTCGTGGCCGTGACCATCATTGCCACGTCCCGGTGGAAGGCTGCTTCAGAAAGTGGAAACACGCTTTTGATTCCACGCGAGAGGTTGGATAAGCACAACCAGGTTGCCCGCTTCGATGAAGAGTCCCAGGTAAACGAGAAAGAGAAGAAACGTAACGATGGCAGCTCTCAGGAGGGTGATGATCTGGACAACCAACTGGTCCGCAACACGTCCGTCTTCACCTGGAAAAATTTGACATATACCGTGAAAACGCCCACTGGTGACCGTGTGCTCCTTGATAATGTCTACGGTTGGGTCAAGCCTGGCATGCTAGGTGCCCTGATGGGTTCCTCTGGCGCTGGAAAGACCACTCTGCTTGATGTTTTGGCTCAGCGGAAGACTGAAGGAACCATCCATGGTTCCATTATGGTTGATGGACGACCCTTGCCAGTTTCCTTCCAGCGCTCTGCAGGCTATTGTGAACAGCTTGATGTCCATGAACCGTTTGCAACCGTGCGTGAAGCTCTGGAGTTCTCTGCCTTGCTCCGTCAGCCACGTGATGTCCCTGATGATGAGAAACTGAAATATGTGGATACCATCATCGAGCTTCTGGAATTGCATGATATCGCTGACACGCTGATCGGCCGTGTTGGTGCCGGATTAAGCGTGGAGCAGCGTAAGCGTGTCACCATTGGTGTGGAACTGGTCTCAAAGCCGAGCATTCTGATCTTCCTGGACGAGCCGACGTCAGGTCTTGATGGTCAATCTGCATACAACACTGTCCGTTTCCTACGCAAACTGGCTGATGTTGGCCAGGCTGTTCTAGTTACGATTCATCAACCTTCCGCTCAGCTGTTTGCCGAATTCGATACCCTGCTTCTTTTGGCTAGAGGTGGAAAAATGGTCTACTTCGGTGATATTGGTGACAATGGCCAGACCGTCAAGGACTATTTCGGCCGTTATGGTGCTGCATGCCCACCTAATGTGAACCCTGCTGAGCATATGATCGATGTCGTCTCTGGTACTCTCTCGCAGGGTCGTGATTGGAATAAGGTCTGGCTGGAGTCTCCAGAGAACCAGCGTTCCATCCAGGAGCTTGACCGAATCGTTAGTGACGCTGCATCAAAGCCCCCTGGTACGTTTGATGACGGCCGAGAATTCGCCACGAGCCTTGCGACACAGATCATGTTGGTGAGCCAGCGTATGTGTGTGGCATTGTACCGGAATACCGATTATGTCAACAATAAAATGGCCCTTCATATTGGATCTGCGTTGTTTAACGGCTTCTCTTTTTGGATGATCAACGATTCAGTCCACTCTATGCAGCTCCGTCTCTTCACCATTTTCAACTTTATCTTCGTTGCCCCCGGTGTCATCAATCAACTTCAGCCCCTGTTCCTTGAACGTCGAGATATCTATGACGCCCGTGAGAAAAAGTCAAAGATGTACTCGTGGGTTGCCTTCGTGACCGCTCTGATTGTATCGGAAATCCCCTACCTCTGCCTCTGCGCCGTCTTTTACTTCGCGTGTTGGTACTACACGGTTGGCTTCCCCACCGACTCGAATAAGTCCGGTGCTGTGTTCTTCGTTATGTTGATGTACGAGTTCGTCTATACTGGAATCGGCCAATTCATCTCCGCCTATGCGCCGAACGCGATTTTTGCCTCCCTCATTAACCCAGTGATCATTGGAACCCTCGCCTCTTTCTGTGGTGTCATGGTTCCCTACCAACAGATCCAGGCCTTCTGGCGTTACTGGATCTACTGGATGAACCCATTCAACTATCTTATGGGCAGCATGATGACCTTCACTATCTTTGACGTGGAGGTGAAATGCAAGGACTCCGAGTACGCCCTGTTCGATCCCCCGAATGGCACCACGTGCGGCGAGTACCTCACCGAGTTTATGCAGGGCATGGGCGCCCGCATGAATCTGCTCGATGCGGACGCGACATCCGGCTGCCGCGTGTGTCAATATACCCGGGGTAGCGATTACCTTCTCAGCGTCAACATAAAGGATTACTACTACGGATGGCGCGATGCGGCTATTGTTGCTCTGTTCGCCCTCAGCTCGTATGCCCTTGTGTATGTTCTCATGAAGCTGCGTACCAAGGCCTCGAAGCAGGCGGAGTAATGTGGCCGGGCCACTATTGTGGGTGGTGTGAAACACCATCCCCTTCCCTTCTCTAATTGCCCCTATAATACCTGATTGTTTGTTGTTCTTTATATTCCCCGAACATAATTTTGCTGGATTAGACCAGGGTGGTCGATAGATCGCTGCATTTCTGGTGTTTGCCTTTTGTTTATGATAGATATACCAAGTGCTAGACGAGCGATGAGCTGATGCGCTTCATGTGAATAGAACTGATTGAGTTGAATTCGTGGGCTTCATTTAAAGATGCGTATGAAGTGTAGTTATTTTTGTTATGGTTAACTGATTCTGCAAAATTAGTTATGAATTAGTCGACGGTCATCGTAGTCAAGAGTCGATATGTCCTCCAGTCTAGCCTTGGGGTAGGCATCTGAGATATCTCACAACGCACCAACCATATTTACTCTTAGCGCGATGTCTGTTTTGATGAAGATTCGAGCAGATGATTGGCTCCATCGCATCAATTGATACCTAAAAGTGGGTCGGAAAGAAGCCAAGCATTTAGTCTGCATCCCAAGTTGACTGGCGAGGCTATGTTGCACCAAGGCGATTGCCTGTGCGTCTACTTCTTTGATCCAGGGGTTGTCAGGGTCTTTCAACTGGGAGATATCCCCTTCCACATTTTCCCTCCTCATCCCCGTTTGCTGAATGTCTTCCACATCGCACACCGTGGATATTGAGTGGTGATCCTGCCGCGCGAGTTTATAAACCCGCGTTTCTTTGAATCCAGACAAAGAAAACACTTCCACCAGTTGACCAATCTCGAAAAGATGGGCCAACAACCCTCGACCCCCTATCCAGGGACCAAAATCCAGGTCATCGGAGCAGGACTTCCACGCACCGGGACGGCGTCATTCAGCGCCGCATTAAACATCCTGCTCCACAGGCCCATCTACCACGCCGGCACGCAAACCACCATGGGACCGCCCATTGAGATCCAATCGTGGATCCGAATCTTGCGTCACTGGCTCAGCCCTAACCCCCAAGACCGCCAGCTCACCCTCCAGCTCCTGGAACAGCGCCTGGACGGATACGCCGCAATCACCGACTCGCCAGGCGCGCAACTGGTCCCCGAGCTGCTGGAGCTGTATCCCGACGCCAAGGTCATCTGCACCGTGCGCGACCCTGACGCGTGGGCGAAAAGCATCGACCAGGTGAGAAGTATGGCGACGTTGTGGTTTCTGCGGGTCATTCTGCTTCCGGTGCCGGGGATGCGGCATTTTGTCGAGTATATCCACTTGATAGGCGCACAGTGGGTACGGTTGTATGCGACGTCGATGCCGGATCGTCAGACGTATGAGTTGCATATTGAGTGGTTGAAGCAGGTGGTTCCGGCGGATCGCTTGGTGTTTTTTCATGTTGGTGATGGGTGGGAACCGTTGTGTGAGGCGCTGGGCGTCGAGGTGCCGGTCGACGTACCCTTTCCCCGGATTAATGATTCGGAGGCAATTGCGCGGACGGGTAAGTACCATATCCAGCAAGGGTTGATGCGATGGGTGGGGATTGGAAGTGTGGTGGGTGTTGTGGTGGCTGCGGTTGCGATGCGGTCGTCGGGGAGCCTGTTCTGGTGAGCACCGGAGTTTTGGCGGATTCTGTGTAGAATGTTACATACCGCTTTCAATTAAGGACTATAGTACCAAGTATGGTCTATATACCGTTGTGCGGAGTGTCGGGTTAGGGTAAGACAAGGGTAATTAGCACCTAGTATTCGCCCCAGTAAATCATTTTGTGCTTGGGTCTGCGTGCTTATGTTAGGGAAATAATTATAACGGAGTTATTGAACTATTTCATACCCTTTCGTTCCTTTTCTTCCTAGATAGTATGCTACGGGTAGGTGTAACAGAGGCATGGCGTACCCTTTTCTAACTCGTAGACATGGACCTGCCTATCGCTTGTATATCGACCACGTCCCCACTGCATGAGTTTACTTTTTCAATGGTGGCCGTATTAAGTCAGCACAGCGACCAAGCTGGCCTCAATCTTGATTGACACGGTTCTTGGTCGGCAATTCAAATCTGCACTCAATGCGACATCCTATGCTCTGCTCAGCCATCCTTATCACTCCTAATCATCCCCCAAGTGCCGTAAGCGGGATGCATCAAAGGAACAGTCAATGGATAACAATTAGTCGTTCCAAAATTGAAGAAGCTGACCCCAAAGTCAAACGGCATTAACACCCAGCTTCCCCCTGGTGAACCTCCACGCCCAACCTATGTCAAAGATCAAAATCTCAACAAACGAGAACACCAAGCTGCCCCCAAAGACCAGACTGTGGTATGTCCACGCGTTGTCGGAATCTAGATGAACTACTTGGCACACGATTGCCCAGGGGAGAACGTAGAAGATGTTAGAAAATAGGGACTGCGCGAGGTACCAGGGGGTCCGGGTGGCTAGCAGAATGGCGGCGAGTTGGGTTGATATCGCATATAGGATGTAGCACCTGATCTTCTTAGCGACCTTGATGGCAGATATCAGGTAGATTCAAGGTAGAGTGAGAACGTACCAGTCGATGGTGCGCCACATATGCGCGACGATATTTGACACAGGCTCTGATCGGCTCAGCCAGAAAGCGAAAGATTCGCAGCCGTACAGCGACATAAAGATCAGTAAGGGTATTTCGACTGCGAGAACTATCATAACCGAGAGAACTGCTGGCCGAGTGACCACTGTAGAGGATGAGCGCTCCTGTCCAGTCCTCCAAGACACAAAGCTAGAGTACAGTACCGAAAAGGCCCATCCATGACCAACGTTCAGTGTCGGTTCTTTGCTTCAACTGTCCCCAAGAATGGCCCACGAAGGTGAGAGTAGTCGCCTCCAAGGCCTGAACTGGTACCATGATTAGACCCCACCGGATTGTTGTAAACACCCCCCATGCCGTCGCATAGTCCGCGGACATGGCGACTACCCCAGCAACAAGCCAAAGATATAAGGCATTTCGGATTGCCGATTCAATGAATGTGATAGCCCCAGGTTTGAGGAGCACCAAGAACGCATGCACGTTCGGTGCCTCGCTCCTCCAGCACAATCGACGGCCATTTCGCTTGAGACTGGTAGTGATGAAAAAATACAGAAGACCAGAAACAGCGGCGACCATATCACAGGTCAGGCGGATTCCAGCCTGCATGTTGACATCCGGCGTCCAGCCGCCCACATGAAATTTGGATATGATCAGAAAGTCCAAAATGATATTGACAGCAACCTTGATAGAACTGATTACTAACGGAACATCTGGCTTATCGAGGGCGCGGGTTGCATTCGAAATACTGATTTCGATCGCAGAGCTGAAGGCTGAGAAGGCGCTGATGCGCACATATGCTATACTTGCTTCGCGCACTTCATGCGGGACGAACGCTGATGAGAATTCTCGAGCAGCAGCTGCGAACACGATGCTGAGAATCAGTCCAAGGAATGCTTGGAATATCACCAGGGTATGTGCTAGGCCCAGGCGCGACTCTAAGGATCGTGCTTCCTTATCTGCAATGGTGACCCATACCGCGCGCGGCAGCCCCTCGTTCAGGACCTCTGCGACTGTGCCGATGTAGGTGTAGACGTCCGTTGTAACAACGAAGGAGGCGTCAATATTCGCGACCCAGATCTTGACAAGCGTACTGTAGAGGGCTGGGAGGATGAAGGCGGCGGTGTTGCAAAGGAGAGCACCCGTGTAACTAAGACCCCGTTAGTATATTTGCGCGGCCAGTTGGGTAAGTAGGGTGGTACTTTGAACGGTGCCACCATCGCTCACCAACGGTCCACTTCCAAGACAAGAGCTTGGGAGACTCATGTGGGAGCCCCACCCCGGTAGTCGGACGAGCAACAACTTCCACGACGTTTGCTGCCGAATTTGGTGCCATACTTGGACATCCTAGCTGAGAAATCGAGCGGATTCAGACTTCCAGGCCTTGTGGATCTTTGGAGGAGTACACGAGAGAGGGTGGCCTGGAATAGCGTCGCATTTACAGAAGCGGGGTTTCAGCCAGATCACATTATCATGAGTCATCGACCTGCCGAGGACCTAAAGCAAGTCCTCTCGTCAATCCGTATAACTCACTGCTGTACATAACGGTGCCTTCGAGGTCTGCACCAATGTACTGTATTAGATCCTCGCTGGTCGAATGCCAAGACCTTGACACAGAGAAGTAAGGAGTAGCGTAACTAGGACCTACGATTTTATTTTTTTTTAAACAAAAAAATTTACTCTCGCAGAACTTGTGGACCTTACATTGCACTGTTTAAAGTCACCTATACCGTAGACAGGGATACGATTGTCGGTCAAGCGACTACCTTAAAAGCAATGGAAGGAGGTATCGCACGAAGCAGACGTTGGCTATATCCTTCAGCACATACAAGTATAGACCAGTCCAGTATTTCTCCGACCGATCAACTTGGTTAATATTTACTTCCTACATAGCGCAGGAGATACACTCATTTACTTCTTGTAGGCTGGGACGGTGAAAATTTATGCCAATTTGACGTACAGATCTTAAATATATATCTGCATGATACATATGACCGTTGGGGGTTTGTATAATCTTATAGTAATCAGTATTAAACCCCAGTGCCAGTATATCACCTCGCCTTTTAAATAGACTACGGTTGAAACAAGACTGTGAAAGTGAAACGAACACTCCTTGATATCCCATATGAAGAGTTTCAAGTTTAATCTCATCATCCACAGTTCACAGTGTCAGGGTCACTGTCCATTATACTGGAAGTCTCCAAACTTAAACCATTCGCCATTGGTGCTGGGTGACTGCGGTGGAGAAAATTCAGGCTTGGCATGATGACGAGTCAAGTAGAAGGCCCATAATTGGCCTTGCCGATAGAATTGACCGAAGTAAAGTCAACTGGGAAGGAGAGAGAATACATACTCTATATGTGGGTCGGTCACCTCCCAAGGTTGCCCACCTTGAATCCCTCAGGCATCAGGCTGTCACGTGTGACCCACCCGTGCCAACTGGAAAAGAAAGAGGCGCTTACCCGATGTGGCAGGTCACCTCGGTCACGGGGCCCACAGGCGGAGACAAACCGCAGAAAAAACACAAAAACAGAATTCGAGGCTCACAACAAACTCTGTTGAGCCCTTGACAGCAAACCATTGACAGCAAATCGCAAGCTGGGTGGTCCTGGATCCAACGGTTCTGGAACATGAATCATTTGACAGGGGAAAAAGGACCACATGTTGGATGGATGAGTTGTCGCACTGTTGAACCCACATCGTCATGACGCCGTTGACGCGGCGCCGCTCATGCCGTTCCGTTATTGGCCGCCAGCGATCAACGCTGCTGTAAGCGAAGCAGGGAATCTCTCGGACATGTTCGTCCTGATCTCGCTCGCTTCGATCCTGCCGTACCGTTGGCTCCAACCCATGGTGAACCCGACCTTCTCATTCCTCCGACTGACTCTGGGATCGCGACGCGACCATCGGACCCTCCCCATATCCTTCCCATGATTACCCACGATTCTCGAGCGTTGCTCGTGTCCGAACTACCTCGGGAGAAGAGAACCGCGGTTGTACCCTCTCTAACCCCTCGTCAGGTTCGCTCCTGTAGGGTGTGTCGACTGCGCAAGGTCAAGGTACGTCCCGAACCGATCGTGGGTCTGAGCTTCGTTTTAGCACCGTGGGCCAATCCCATACCAATTAATTATAATGAAAATGAAATATAATAATTTCATAATCATGTTTCATTTCCCTTATCGGCTCGAAAACGACCAACCCTGCTCCGGCGGGCGCCCCGCGACGCGTTGTGAAACTGACGATCCACGATAGTGTGACCGCGTCAAACCCTGTCATGCATGTTGCGCCCATGGCTATCCCTCCAAGTGCGTGTATGAACCGGGCACGGACGAGGATCCCCAGCCCATCAGTCAAGCAGACGAGATCCGACATCTACGGGCGGAGATCCGCGACTTAACGGCCCGCTTAAACAACGGTGGTAGGTGTCCCACTCTCGCATGGCAGATCACGATCATGGGACCATGGCTCTCTGACTTGGCATTGGGTCGTACTCCAGAGCGCCGGCACCGATCGGAGCGACGTAAGACCCAGCTACAAAAGTTGTTTGCGACCATACGCTCGGCCCCGCTGGAGCTTGTCGATCGACTAATTACTCAACTCCGTACTGGCCCCAGCGGATCGAACGAGCTCGAAGGAACTGAAGGTGGGTGTGAGATGGCGTGTGCGCCAGTCCAATACCGTGCAGGGCAGGCTAACTCGGTTGGGCCCATGTAGCCTTTCTCCACCAACGCTCCCCGGATGAGAGCAGTGACGATAGCAGCAGAAATACCGATTACCATGCCTCACACCGGTCAGAAACTTTCGATTTCAGCCGCAGCCCGTCGGAAAGCAGTGAGGATTCATCGTCCTCATCGATCATTAGCATAAACAACTCGTCCAGCCCGATGCTGGATGTGTTCATTGAGCGATTTATTGATGCTTTTAGCCCGGAAGTTGATATCAAGTCGGGTCAGGCGGGAGCACTGCGACGCGCAGCGGAAATCCGCATGTTCTCGCCGATCCTAATGGAGGCATATGAAGCGGTCTCGGTAGCCTTCTTTGGTCGGTCCGTTCAGGACCCGCGAATTGAAAAGTCAGGCTCTCCGCTGTATGGACGTGTCCTGCGGAATCTACAGAGTGCCTTGCAGGACCCAGAGCGGAGCAAGGCTGAATCCACTCTGGCCACGGTCATCCTTTTGATGGCCTTTGAGGTACCAATCTCGCTCTTCATTGTACGGTTTTTATTACTTATCGGTCAATTTTAGAGTGTTGAACGAACCACGCAAGCATCACTGTCAGCGCATGTGCATGGCGCTGTGCGTTTAATCGAACACCGCGGGCCTGAAAATCATATTTACGGAGTGGAACACCTCCTCTTCACCGAATTGCGTCCGTATTGGGTAAGTTGGTTTGGCGAAGTATAGGCCATGTTGAGCCGTGGACTAATGCGTCCCAGGTGGGGGCGGCCCTCGTCACCCGTCAGCCTTCATTTCTCGCAGAGGAGGATTGGATCAATGTACCCTGGTCGGCTGGAACGACGCAGAAAGATATCCTGCACTACCTGTTAGATCTTACGGTCGAGGTGCCATCCCTGTTGGCGCAATACGACGCCTTGGAGGCCACGCTACAGTCCGGGGTCCCCAGTGCGCATGAGGTCACCGTGAAACAGGCAGCACTGTGGAATGGGGTTACCAACCTCACATGCCGGTTCCTCCAGTGGAAAACCGACTGGGTCGATGCCTATCCGGACGGGCCGCCCCAGGAGGTGCCCGCGGAACCCAACGATCAGTTTCCCCTCTTTCGCTGTCGCGATCTCCGTACCGGTGCCGTCATCACCCCGACCAAATTTGTCTACCCCAACCTACGTCTCGCTCAAACCATGTGTCTATATTACACCTCACGGCTCATTCTATCAACGGTCGACACCCGACCGGACGACGAACGAGTGGGGCCGGCGCAGCAATATGCTCTGGGCTGCGGCATCTGCCGAACTCTCGAATGGTACATCTTAACGGCGCCGGGCAACATGATCAACCGGCTCGCTTTCCCCGTGCGCGTGGCCTGGGAGGTGTTCCCCGACGGCGGACCTGAACGACGATTCATCTACGACGTATTGAAACTGGTCGAAAAGCGCCATTCGCTTGGACTCTGGGGAAGTGGCATGTCAGAGCTATCCCCTCGGGCCGGATCACCGCCGAAAGCTTGAGCGGGGGCTCTTGTATAGAACTAGGATGAATACGTTGGCGATCGCAGGCACGAAAGCTGATGTTTTCCCGGAACGAACTTATGAGCGATATGAACCTTACTTAAAAGTCATTGTTAATTTTCCTGCACGAGCAAGGTTTCCTGACCAGGGTCGGAGGGGCACAATCCTTGACGAATCTAACGAGAAGGATAATCCATTTGTACAATAACCATACCGCTCTTTCGGATACTGACGACTTAATTTATACCCGATATTTTCACCATTGACCAAGCCAAGCGACTTGAGGGAATAATGAGATCCAACCTGCCTGGACAATGTTTCGTAATGACAGTTAACCTTAAACATCACTCTTGGGAGATTTTTAACCCCCCTCTCCCTCTCTTCCACACACAAACACACAAACCGGCTAAAAGCAATCCCTACACCTCGCTCAGACTTTGCCTGTGCTGCTTTCTTCAGGTACGAGTTCCACAGCTCTACCCAGTATGGGCAGAGAAGGTCTGACTGCAGCCATTCTCTCCACTCGCCTTTGGTCGCTAAGTGCTAAGTGGCATGCTTTCATCAACTCCCCTTGTGTGGGTGTCTTGCCTTTCTTCTCGTTTGCCAGTGTACTTGACCCCTCCTCTGCGTCGCTTTTCAAATCTCCTTCTATAACCACATTTGTAGGGTGTTCTGAAAATGACTTTATTTTGGGTGTTGCTTTTTTCACCGAGGAATGTGTTATAGTCAATCTCTACCTCATCCTCGTCTTCAGGACCAGACCATAGAACAGCCACAAGGCGATCAACTGAACCAATGTTGAAATGCACCAATTCCTTTGAAAACTGTCGAAGAAGTACCATAAAGGCGCTGATTAATAATGCTATATTGCATGGTAGCACAGTGAATAACAATTCAAACACCAAAGCCTCTAAATATCATACAGCTGATAATGTACTTTGTGGGCAGGCCCGAGCTGTCGGCTAAGAGACGCCTCGCCTCGGATTAGGATTTCATTTCAGACGATATGCCGTACTTTTCCGAACCTCAGAGACCATAAGACGAAGTCATGACTCAATCAGCTCAATAGCTGTTCCAATACTAGCCACGTCGATGTGCCAGAAGCAGGTGGTTTCGCCTCTATCCTCCCTGTGCATTTCGCGTCTGGGTGATAATCGGGTGATTGAGGGCAGATATACTCCTCGCCGATGTTCCAAAGAGGGGAAGCCAAATAGGTATCGCATAGAGGTGATATCGTAATTTAATAAAAGCCGGTTACTTAGTGGTCTGCACCGACGATGTCCAAGTTCTCGTTTGGCGATTGAAAGCACCAGACCTGCATCGTCATGTGGTCTAGCCGTTCTTTCAGACATCTGAAAAGCTGTGAACTAATATGAATTATGAATTCCTGGTGTCCGCTTAGTATTGCTATGCAACTCGCCTGCAGGCCGGCCCCGGAACGCTTCAACCACATAGTCCCGCTTAGTTGTCGAGGCCAATACTAGAGTGGGCTGTTTAGAAGGGAACCGTGTTCCATAGGAGTTAATCCGTCCACGATAGTCTTTGAGACGTCATAGATGGTACGCGAGTCCATTTGAGAGAGTTGTTGATGCTTCAGCAAAGGTCTCTTGGGTATTGTGGGATGGGCGATGTGGATGTAAGTGGGTTGTCACGTTCGCTTGAAATGCACCCTGTTCATGCCTCCTTGTTTGGTTGGCGGAAACCCTTTGAATTGAATGTCGTTATTGGTTATCAACTTTAGGTGTTGAATAGTGACATATTGTCCATGATCGTATCATCCAAAATGCTAAGATGGACGCAAAGGGGTCTATTTGCCTAGATTCACTCCGTTCATTTTCGGGCATCAGTGCGAGGTGGAACCTTCACTCACCAGCCGAACGACTGTAGGCGGGATATGTACGAAGCTGAAGTCACAATAGATGTCATCGGAGGTAGCATATGCCAAGATCGAAAATACAGATGCGGACCCCCCCCCTTCCCCCCCTTCCTTTTCAATAAATATTGGGTAGTGAAGGCGGCCCCTCGTTCAAGATTATTGTCACTCGAGAGCTCATTGTCATTAAGGTAAATCTTGTGCTTGTATCGTGCAAGGTCATGGACCAGAGAATCTTTGACGATTCGGGTATCCCAGAGAAATTGAATACCGTGTCGGTAAACGTTAGTGAATTAAGAGTGTGGTCGTCTTCGGCGGAGGGAGTTGCATCAGCAGACGCCGGGGACGTATTTCGGGTGCTATTGGCCTATCCTGACGGGGCCGCTCTTGCGCAGCCAATTCCCATGCGATGTCCGTCTCCGTTTGGATTGCGTGACATTGTACGACCATGATCTCCCAAATTGTGTGGGTTCTCACAAGCCTATCATATGCTAGGTAGTTTTATTGACAACACTGATAGAGCAGTGATCAGTATCTGATAAAGGGCGTCCACCTCTCAGTTCGAGTACAGGATGAAGGGGGAAGGACCTGCAGTAGCCTGAATGTTTGCCCAGTTCTGGGGGGACCATGGCGCAGTCAAATGGGACCGGAAATGGCTTGGAGTGTGTTACGCGCCTTGCGCTGCTTCTCGTTCAAACCTCATACTGGGCTGGATCCTTGAAAGTTTCGCAAGGCAAAGTACTCTCAAAAGTACTATACATATCGGGGTTTGGCGTACATTAATCATCAAGGACCGGCATCATAGTAAGTCCGTGAAGCGTCAGCGGCAAGATATACCCTGTACATGGCTCTCGTGACAAGTAGGGCAAAGGTGAATGGAATTTGGTGATCGCGACTGAGTAAGCCATTCGTCTTGTCATTGTACATGACTAAGGGCGAAGACGTCGGGGTTAAGCTGTAGCATCTTAAGGAGCCAGGAAGATAGACAACTGGCCCATGACCTTGCATTGCGACTAGGCGCCAGGGATCTTGTTGAATTCTCTCATGTCCGAGGATAGAACTGCTGACTTGTAACAGTTTTAAGCTCTAGTTGAGCCCAGGGGTCTGTTGCATGGTCTCGGCTCAGATCCAGATCTCAGTGGTATCCTGCCAAGTGGGAGGTTCAGAACTGTCGCCCATGGGTGTATCACCGTTGCCGCCATCGCTTGGGCCGTCACCAATTCCGGTAGCGATAGCAGGACCGACGTGGATCGGATAAACAAAAGTGCAGAGGACAATGGTTAGGCAATGTCTAGAATCCGGCATGTTTGCTTCATAAAAAGAATAGTGGACACTATTGTTCGTGTCGCTCCTTGCTAAGAAAGAAAGTTAGCATGCCGTATTTCGCTGGACAAGTAACACTTCCTACCTATCTTTTGTCTGCACGATGGTCATTTATGGACCGAGGAAAGATGCTCGAGGCTTATGTTCGATCTGGGTTGGCTGGATGAAACTTGTGCCACTAAGTACCTCCGCGGATGGGGCGTTCATCTTGGATGTCCTATCGAAGGTATACCGGAGACAGAGATCCTCAAGACATATAGAATTGGTCAATCACGGTCTTCATACCTGTCTTCTTCATCATCACAATTGCCACGGTGGAATATCGAGTGGCGTACTGCGATCGTGGATAGCCGTGGGTATGTATGATGTGAAAATTGGAATCTTGGTTTCAAAGGATGGGTTGCTTAAACTTAATAATAAGAAAAGATATACAGCACGAGATAGCGAGTATCGATAGCCATCATGACTATCTACCTGCACGTGTAGGAGACAGGGTATGTATACCGAAGGATCGAGTGACGCGAATAAGGTGCAGTAGCTCAAGCAGCCTAGCTAGGTGAGGGTTTTGCTTGATCGGCGGTGGCTGTGGATCCCGTTCCCGTGCTCTGAGGTGATATCACTGCCGGCTGAGAAGTTGATGAGGAAGGACATTGCACTCCGTTCAGTCGGTGCAGTTGCTGCCCTGGCAGTCATCGGTCTCTGGTGCATGCTAAGGCAGTTTATGTCATGTTTTTCCAGCATTTGCCTTTCACGTTGAAGGTTTAGTCAAAAGAAAATGCAGAGCATTACTGGGGAATTGAGGGGGAAGCATGTACTGTTCCTGTTTTGGTTGGGCAATGTGTAGTTCTCAGGAGGTGTAAGGTGAATATGTATGAAAGAATTCGAAGACAGCCAAAATCAGGTAGCCATCGTAACAGGAAGGGTAGAAAGCAAGCTATTGAATACAGCGAAGAATCTTGATGAAGACTAGAGGCGTAAGTAGAGGAAAGATGGATGGAGCAATATATATCTCGCTAGGAGAGCCAAAGACAGATGACTGGAACGTGACTGTCATCAAAACTGCATTGAATTCCCGCCTTGAGACGTTTGTAAATTCAACCTCAATGAACTCAACCTCACCAGACAAACGGAGAGCAGCCATGACAGCTGACAGGAAATGCACTGTAACCTGTCTTACTTCCAGGCTCCCGACCGAGGCTCGAGCCAATGCCATGCAAGGAACTGGCCAAAAAATTTCCAATAGTGTGGAATAGCGGCGGCCCTAAGCGGTAGTGCTGAGTTTGGATCGCAGACTCCACCCTAACGAATGGATTTGTGTGGTTCCTGAAGCCGATCGCTATTCTCTTAATCGGATCCATAATCTATTTTGTGTTTTTTCACAATGCGAGGCCCACTCCAGCTGAGGAATGCTGGTCGGTGCACATTTCCGTGGTGCTTTGCTTTTTTTCTTTGTTGATTTAAAAGGCGACATGGTCCCTTGACTGGATCGCGATTCACCGAACTTCCCTCGTTTGTCGACATTCATCATACCTCTATTTCCTTCGTTTGTACATACACTTTCACTTGACCTGCATACTCACACTCTTTTGAAGACAATCGGATTACAATAATTGGCCGCCATGAAGTTACATTCCCTCCTTCCCCTGGCCGCCCTTCTCACCCCCTCTGCGGCGGCATTGTTCGGCATCAATGACTTCAACTGTGAACTGACGGAGGAGCACCCGAACCCAGTCGTCCTGCTGCACGGTTTAGGCGCCACCTACTACGAAGACCTGAATTTCCTGCAATACTGGCTCCAGAACCAAGGCTACTGCACCTACGCGCAAACCTACGGCGCATATGACGGCTTCCCACTGCTGGGCGGGCTGCGCTCGATCAGCGAATCGTCCGGCGAAATCGCCGCGTACATCCGCGAGGTCGCCGACAAAACCGGCGCCAAGAAGGTCGATCTGGTCGGGCATTCCGAGGGCGCATTCCAGTCGCTCTACGTGCCGAAATTCCAGGGGGTCTCAGACCTCATCGATAAGATTGTGGCGATCGCGCCCCCGACGCACGGAACCAATTTCGGTGGCCTGTACAATCTCGCATACCTCTTCGGAAATGTTTCCCGGGAAGTGGTGGGTGAGGTGTTGAGCAAGTTTGGCTGTCCCGCGTGTGACGAGCTGGGTCCCGACGGGGCTGCCGTGCAGCGATTGAATGATGGCCAGCCCATCCTGCAACCGGGTAACACCTTGACGGTCATTGTCTCGAAGTTCGATGAGATGGTTACGCCGCATTCGACGTCGTGGGTGGACGGCGCCAACAATATTTACGTGCAAGACAAGTGTCCGCTCGACCCCGTGGGACACATCGGTGAGGCGTATGACTTGAACGTCTGGAACCTAGTCAAGAATGCCCTCGATAGCACGCCGGACAGGGACTTCTTCTGTGTGCTTGGGTCGCCGGGAAAGATTTGATTGTTGGTTTTGAAAAAAAAGGAAGTTGCAGAGTAATGTTCCTAGTCTAGGTAAAAAGAAGTATATAGTCCCATATGTACACTCATTAATGTATAGTCATCAGCATCAATATCACACATGTCGCGGCATTAGAATTATCGGGTGCAGGTCTTTTCATCCACCAGGGTTTCGTCAGAGGAATGGGAATCGTCGCTTTGGGTCTCTTGGACCAGATTGTGTCCGTCGCTGCAGCTTGGTTAGAGCAAGTATCGTAAACAAGACGAGGGATATGTGCGTACCCGAGCCTCTTATTCGGTATCAGTAGAGAGAGGATGACGACGGGAGCGGAGAGCGCCAACGCGGCGATCGTGATGTACCTGCGACTGTCAGCATGCGTCATGGAACCAACCCCAAGAGACATACCCCATGACATCGGAATACTGGATGAAAAGTTAGCGAATAGCTCGAGTCACACAGCAAACGAAGATAGGTGAACGTACTGCTCGGTTAACCGCATCTCGCTCCGGCGTCCCCCACTTCGGCAGTGTATCCGTAATGGAGTTGTACAGGCGAACGACGGTGTCCTCATCGACACTGTGTCCGAGATGCAAACGCAGGCGGTCGCGCAGCTGATTGGAGTAAATGGCACCGGCGATGGCTGAGCCGATGCCATTGCCCAAGAAGGATCCGAGCAGGATGAGCGACGTGACCTGGGCCAGTTCGGCATGCGACACGGAGATCTGCGCGGCGACGATGACAATGGTCTCGATCATCCCGCTGCCGGCACCCTGGATCAGCTGGACGATGAACAGTTCGGCGACGGAGCTCTCGTTGGTGCGCAGACGGACCATGACTCCGTACCCGACCATGCGGATGGCGGCGCCGACCACGCCGATCCATTTGTACGACCGTAGCCGATACATGAGCAGCCCGGTGCCCATCCCCACCAGCGCCTGCATGACGCTGTTGGTGTAGTTGAGGAACTGGGCGTCACGGGGCGAGAAGTTGTGGGACACCATGGACCAGACGTACAGGTAGGTCTGGGTGGTTCCGAACCCAATGTTGTCCACGCAGGCCAAGGCCATGGAGACCACCACGGACAAGGTACGGAAGTAGTGGGTGGGGACGACCGGGTGACGGGCGAAGTACTTCTCGTACGGATACAGACAGGCCAGCGCGATGCCGCCCAGCACAATCAGGGCGTCGACCCACGGAGTCTTCCAGCAATCGGATGTTGTGGCGGCCAGCGTGATGGGGATCAGGACTAGCGCAAATCCGCCACTCAACAGGCTGATGCCGCCCAGATCGATCCGCGAACAGAAGGTGAAGAGATTCAATTTCTCCGTCAGGATGAGGCCAGACCGCTTGGCGCGTCGTTCGAAAACGAGGAGGGTGACGATGATGAAACTGGCGCAGAAGGGCATCAGGATGGCGAACATGCCGATGCCCCAACGCCAGCCAATACCATTGACGACGCTGTCGACGATGAATGCCGACACCCACGGCGTGATCAGGAAAGGGATGTACAGGATGTTGTAGACAAAGCCTCGCCAGCGCATGGACGAGATGTCGGACACGACGGTGGAGTTGAGGATGGCCGTGCCGGCCTGGCCGACGGAATAGAATACGTAGCCACCCGCATAGATGCTGAACGTCTTGGACGATGCACAGAGGATGTAGGACAGAATGTAGCATGTGATGGTAAAGATGTATGCCTCGGCCCGCCCCAAGACGTCTGAGACTTTGGCTATCGGCGGTTTACTTACGGCGGTAATGATGCTGGCCGCCGTGTTGAGGGTGGCCAGCACGGAAAGATGTTTGAAGTCGGATGTCGCGAAGTTGCGATAAGTCCCTACGGTCGAGTTGTCCAGTTCACTAAACGGATGTTAGAGCTACCCACAGGGCTTGGATAATTCCCGCAAGACCCACAAGATGATCATAACCATGACCAAGCTGCACGGTATGAGATGGTTAGCATTTGGGATATGGACAGTAGTACTATGATATGAGTGTGGTAGTACATACCCGATATAGAGGAGATATCGTCCCTTCCGGCCGCCCACGGCTTCCACGGCCTCGATTTTGACGGCGCCAGTCGCTTTTGGCGGACTGGATGCCGTGACGTTGACCTCGAGCTGGCCGCATTTCTCGTCGTACAGCGAGGAGGGACTGGACACGTCGTCGTTTACCGACGGATGGAAAAACCGTCTCCACGCAGTTAACATGTTGGCGACGATTGCAACCCGTGCAACACCAGTGGTAGACGGGAGATCGTTTTTAGATAACTACAACTGATTGCGCAACGATATCTTCATCATTACAACCGGGGGGTGGTTGTTAATGAGAGGGAGAAGTGGAGAAAGAAAAAAAAAGAGAGGGGGAGGAGTGATTGGAAGCTTGGATGAATGGGGAGTGATGAAGAAAGCAAGCAGGGTTTGCAAAGTCCGTTGGTTGAATGATCGACACGGTCAGATTAGCAGGAATCGACGCTGGAGCAGTTCTCCAGTGAGGGGTTGTGCCAATCCCTTGGCAATCAGTCTGCTGAACGGTCGCTGATGCCGTCGATCCCATCCGGATCGACGTCCAATCTGCTGCTAAACGATCATCCCACCCGCCGTGTACAGCGTCATTGGCACCGCGACACTCGGCTCGAGACTAGTCCTGGAAGTGCCGTTGCGAGGATCGGACTCAACGCCAGTAGACTCGAGTCGTACGCCGTCGGATTGTCGTATTTTTCTCCTCAGCGTGCCAAGAGAACTGCCGTTTCCGGACACATTAGCCCTATCTCGTTAAGCTCGTTCAGTCTGGATGGACTGGGGTGATGAAATTTTCTGTTTTCTTTTTCTTCTTTTTGTTTCCTTGATTTTCTCCAAGTGACATTAAACCAAGCAAGGAAGCTCAGCTCCTGATAGCACATACCCAGTCTCACTAGCACTGCTTCGCATGAACCTCTCCATACTGAATGGGTGGAGACTGAGCATGATGCTTGCTAATGCATCTCTAATGCGTGGTATGGTGCCAATGGATCAGACGCCCTCCGAATCGGCCCGACTTGATGGAAAATTATCCGCCACAGGACATGGACATGGACATGGACTGTGCATGGATTTGAGTGGACATTGATCATGACAGGCAAACATGAGCCCCTGCCAGGTGTCAATCATAACCTCAGGTATCCAGGCATCACGTCATCCCATTGGCCAATGAGATCGAGGCTGTAATTTAACCCGAAATGGCAATCCGACCACACGCCCGGCACCACGTGACGCCAGGACAGAAACAGAAACGGTGAATACCATCAATCGAAACACAAACACTTCAATTCCCTTGTCGATGTGAATATGCCTCTGCCCGTGATGGATTTGCTGCACTACTCCCTATCTTCTTGGTACCCACTGGGGCCACGCCTCGAACAACCGACCTCATTATTGACCTGATCGTGCCTGTCGCGTCACGGACGCAATGGCCTCAAATTCGGTAATCGCAGAGGACCAGGCCGACACCACCGCGGAGATCCTTCGTCTGCAAAGTCAATTAGCGCAAATCCGCAACAAACGCAAAATACTGCACCTACGTAATGAGATTGCGCGCGAGAACCAGTTGTTGACTGACGCTCGACACCGTCTTCATGTGACCGAATCACGAACACCGACTGGCGGCCGCTCCTTCGATCGATTGCCTCCGCCTACTCCAGTTCCAAGAGGCAGGGCTATCCGAGTGGATAAGAAACGCATAAATGCGAAGCCGTCGCACCCGAGACCCGAACCTGTCACCGGTAATAATAACGCTAGTGGTAATATCACATCGGCTGAGGGGGCAGAGGTGCCAAAGCTCCCCGTATCCAAGGAGTATTGCGGGCGGGATCGATCTTCATATATCACCTTGGTCAGCAACTTGCGGAGTTTCTTTCGTGAACACCAATGGTATTTTGCTGTCGATAAAAACAAGATTGCCGAAGCAAAGAGACATTTATCGCGCCTTGTTCTCGATGAGTGGACGACGTATGCCCAGTCTAGTGACCGAACATATACCTGGGACGAGTTCTGCTCCTTTCTACTTCATCAGATCAAGAGACCTGGGACGCCGAGGCTGGCACACCGTCGATGGACTATCGCTCGACAAAAGCCCAATGAAACCGTGAGAGACTTCGCAAACTACCTGGGAATGTTGGAAGACGATTTCCCAACCCCGATATCTGAGCAAGATCGCAGCCAGAGACTATGTAAGGGCATAGACATTGCATTGCAAAGGAGGGCCCTAAAGGATACATCGTTTCGTACTCTGAAGTATGACGCACAGATCGAGTTACTGGCAGCGTGGGAGATCGAATGCCTCGCCTGGTGAGTCAGTGTCCCGACGGCCTGAAATCTTGACTATTGGATACAGGAGGAGATGTGGAAAGTGGCGAACTGCAACTAGGTGAATGTAACTACCTAAGCAATCAATTCGTAGAATAAGCGAATATCAACCATCTTTGTTTCATGTTGAACTTTGTGCTCGCACGAGGCTCGATGACTGGGAAGCGTTCAATTCACGAAAGAACGGAATGCAGACCGAAAGTTAATCTAAATCTAGTTATGTCAATCATAACAGCTTCTTGCTATTCCTTTTTTTCTATCTGCTTTGTAGTGTTTTCATCCTTTTAGCTCTCCCTATGACGGACCAGGACAGCTAACTGCAATACTAGCTTGTTCACCTTCTCCCAACTTTCAATCCCCACCGACCTTGTGTGTACTGACTTCGCTCATTTCATGATATGATGAATGACATATATCAACAATTTACCTCCATCCTACGAGATGTTCTACGTTTCTCGTAACAAGGGGAAATCAACGTACTGTTATCGCGTATTATATCGGTGGGAAATAGACAGAGCTTGGCAGAAAAGAAGACACATTCATTAAGACATCCTGGATAGGAAAAGCAAGTCCGCTAATTCAAATAAGCTCCCTTCGTCTCTTCATGGATCACATCAAACATCGGTTTCGCGCTGAAATAACCCGCCAACCGCGTTCCCACAGATTTGTACGTGAAGGCCGCATCGGCATCGTCCACCTTGATCGTCTGTCCGCCTCGGCCCGCCGCCGCTGCGTCCGCCAACAACTGTGCATAGCAACACTTTTCCAAGCTGACGAACCAGAAAACGGTCTCCTCGATCGTGTTGCCGACCGTCAAGAGACCGTGATTCTGCAATAGAGCCGCCTTCTTGTCGCCGAGTGCCGCGGCGATATTCTTTCCTTCATCCTCGGCGAGGACGATGCCGTTAAACTGCTTGTAGACGACGTGATCCTGTACCATGAGTCAGCAAAGGAGGGATCGGACCACGATGTGCAGGATAGCTGACATTGTAAAAGGCACAGGCATCCTGGGTGATGATATCCAACGGCCGACCGAGACTGCAGAATGCGCGACCGTGCAGACTGTGGCTGTGGGCTGCGCAGTTGACGTCCGGGCGAGCAGCGTGGATGGCCGAGTGGATCACGAAGGCGGCGGCGTTGAGCAGTCGACATGGACCGCCGTCGATGACCTCTCCGGCGTGGTTGACCAGGATCAGGTCTGAGGCTTTGATCTGAGAGAAGGCGACGCCGAAGGGATTGACCCAGAATGTGCTTGGGTCGACGGGGTCGCGAAGGGTGATGTGACCGGCCACGCCTGTGTTCCGTCGATATAGATCGTAAGCTAGCTGCCCGTTCATATCCTACGTTCTACCCCATAGATCGTCGTGCGTTTGGTGGGATGCTCATACCCTCATCGTATCCATATTTGCCAAAGATGCGGAAGGCCGCTGCGAGTCGGCCCTTCAGGTATTCACGCTCTTTCATCTTGTCGTCGAATACGGGTGGTCGGGGAATGCTCATCTTCACCTTGGCTTTCTCGGCGCCGGCTTCCTGGGTAGATTGGCGGGCTTCGAGAGTGATGGGCGGAGCGGTCTCGGTTGCGGTGGGGGGCGCCATGTTGCTGTCTGGTTTGTGTGCTGATGGTAGATGGAATGAAGTTGACTGTTGACAGAGCGAAGGAAACTTGGAAGGGTGGCAGTTGTTGGGGAAGTCCAGATGCTTATCTGATAACCCTGAAGAACGCGGGGTAAACCTGATTAGAGTTACCGAGCAGAACCCGAGGTTGTCCACCATCTATATGAATTACTTAGCCATGATACAAGGCCATAGTCGATCCTGCACCTATAATATTGCGAGTATTTCACATATAAATCTCCCGACACGACAAGACAAGCTACGGCATGGCCTCAGCCTTGGGCACGCTACCGATCTGATCCACCCATGGCTCCCTTCGTTTGCAATAGATCTCCAATGCTAAGCCCAACTCGCCACGAGACTCTGCATCTAATGTGCCCGTCTTGACCGTGACAACTCCTCTCCCACCTGGCTGCGTATTGAGTGGAGACCCACAATCCCCACAGAAGTGCCGCTGGAGTTCGTTCCCCAGATCTCCAGACGGATGGGTGTAAACCTTGGGGGTTCCGGCCGTGTAGGTAAAAGTGGGCTTGGGGACGAGGAGATTCGACGAGAAGGGCGTGCCCGTGTTCCGTTTGCAGTCCTCACAGTGGCAGAGAGCAACCTTAGTGAGCAATCAATGTTAGTTTAGGGCGGATCTACATTATTCAGGAGCATGGTGATAGGTGGGGAGGTGTTGATCTTTAGTACCTTGGGGGATGGCGTGCCAGTGGGGAGATCCACACGGTAGGTGATCTTTCCACACAGGCATGCTCCGGTCAAAGACTTTTCGGCCATGATACACTTTTTATTTCTCCCAATATACTAGTAACGGTATCCGTTTTAAGACGCTGAGATTATTGTGAAATGTTGGAGGGGGAAAATATTATGTCTCGCCTGAGGCTGAACTGCGGGACAAAGAACTAGTCTTTCGGACAGCTGGCATAACACCATTGGAACTGTCATCAGTACGAATACGAGTGCTTACATTCTATCGTGCAAGGATTATTTCAGCAGGTAAAGCATATAATAGACTTCATAATGGCAATACAGCCGTCGGCATTGGTTGCATCGCCACATCGCGTCCTATAGTTTCTGGACTCTCGCAGCCCTATCTTGCTATCTTGAGACTTGAACATAGATGGCCTCCTGTCCAGTGCACCAAGAACACCGGACTATGGTAGCTCACCGGTATGGAAATTCCGACCGATAGGTTTACTCACAATACGGTAGATTGTGTAAAAAGGAATATGCGATATCAAAACCAGATAGCCCACATTTAAATCAGGCCCATGCCTTCTCAATTTATGCTTGCAAGACAGGACTATGATAAGTACCGGTCTCTCCAACCTCCAATCCTTGGAAAGGAACTTATGAAGAACAAATGAAATGCACTTCCCGTTCTTTAGCTGTGATGAAATGGGTCGTCGGACCTGATTTGCCCAGGATAAGAATGTCTATATCTCATGTTGAGCGATCTATTGCTGTCTGGCTAGTGTAAGTGCCTCTAGATGGGTTATGAGACTAGGGGTGTCATAGTTATGCCTTGTTGCTGCAAGGTCTATAATATGTCCGACCGACGGACTTACCCATGTAAGCTGGGATAATCATGACATCAGATCGTGTTCTTATCATGTCGACGCTTCCTTATTCGAACCCAAGAGTGCATTGACGGTTTTCCCGCTGGCTGGTGCTCCACGTATGTAATAACACCTTCATCCACAGAGGCAGCAGGCTTTACTACCGTATCCCTACGTAAACATCTCGTAGGGCCACTAGTAGCTAGCCCTGCTTACAAAGTGTCAGCTCTAAATATGCCCTCTGAAGGGATAGGATATCACCTCAACCTCTGCTGGAACTGTGATCCATCACGAACCATCATAAGTTCGGTTGATGATGTGCACCAGAGCGACTCATAAACAGTAACGAAGAGCATATGGAATCTGTGCATCATGAGAGTATCGTGCCAATCAACCCAGACATCTTGCCGACAACAGTCCCCTAGAAATACCAGGCTTTGCCCCTGTACACCAGCCGATCAGCAAGTTCAGCTTCTGAATTTACCCTAGGGAAGTCCAGTGTGTTCTTTTTGATAGTGGTATACCGAGGGCTACTATTGTCCGATGTGATAGCTTCCTCTTTTGCGCTCTGTCTATGATTCTTTCACAGGGCAATATGCTCTTCAACAAGCTCGGTTGTGCTTGTACCCACTATATGTGACACCTGAAGTTCTTCCAATGTCTCATAGTAGCTTGGGCCGAAAACAGGTTTCTTGATATCTTGCCAGGGTATCAATTAATCCCTCCTATTCTGTTTCCACGAATTTCTCTCCTGTTGAGTCGGCTTTTACCTTGGTATGATGAAGGCATTGAGCTCTGTATTTGTAAAATGTAGTAATCCGCTTGTGAAGATGGCGTGCTAGTTCTAGTAGTCTTCTTTTGGCTGACTAGATATCATACGGTTATGATACCATCATGGGGTTGAGTTGGATGTAGATTGGTGAGGAGTAGCAAGTCTAATCCATTAGAGACCATAGAATACATGATCAGTTCTGTGTATGGGGAATGGTAAGGTGTTTAAATGAATTTTAATCTCGGGTGATAGATGCAGACTAAGGGAATGTGCTGTTGAATTGTGGTACGACTGCTGATTATTGAATGGTACAATTCACATCAATAAGTCACTTACCTCTGTATATGTAGGGAATTTTGCCCATTGAACAAAAGTATCATGGCTTCCAAGTCGTCTGAAACAGCACTACTTATATCCTTCTTCCAACTCGGGAGACTCCTTGGAGGATATCCGCCAAATAGTCCCTTTACCATATAAATGTGGAGGTCTATCACGGAGCCCTATTAAATAGCAAGCATGACGAAAGAATAGCCCAAGACCGCATGGACTGATTGTTCACGTTCTGCAGTCATGGCGAGTGTTGCTCATATCTTATAAGTCATACCAACAATAAGGTTGAGAAACTGGTTCAGATATGGGTCGTATATGTTTCACCTTATCGATAAATAGCTTCATCTAGGAAGATGGCTATGAAAAGCTAAAAACAGACTCGACAAGCTCGAATACTAATTTACCTCCTAAGCCGGAGGCCTGTCCTATTTGGAAAGCATTTGCGTTACTTGGTCTGTTAGTATCAAGACGGGGCCTGCCTTCGTAGAAGGTGACGCCCTCCATGGCTAGTCCTACAAATATGGATAGGACGATGGACTGATGAAGACTGTAAAGAGTGCGATGCACCACACTCTCATTATTCAAATCTGAGGGCCGCAATATACCTGCCCCGAAATGCACTCTACATCGCACCTCTTCCATCCATGAACGGGCATGATACAAAATGTTCTATGAACTCGAGTCGATGCAGTATTACTCACAACCATCGCTCAACAAAAAATGCTAGGAATCTTGCCAGCACAGATGACAAGCCGAAGGAAACCGTGCATCAATTGAACCTATCGAGTCATTCAGATCGCTTCATTGGCAGCTCGAACGACAAATGAAACTACAATGGTCGTACGGGAACAAAGCCCGCATGACGGGCGGAAAAAACTGACTACTCCCTTTGGTATGGGGATGCAAGACAACCCAAGTCGGATGTAGTTCTTGTGGAGACCAAGCGACGCGGAATAGACAGAACACGCTGTCCTATATGGGCAAGGCCATCAAGGTTATCACTTCAGATAAATGGGCTTATTACCTGCCCTCTGTCGAGTGTTCTGGATGATATTCCATTTAAACACCACTAAATGCCCAAAAAGAAACAGGAAATCCGGTGCAATGGTGCCTAGTAGCATGCATTGCACGTTCCGTCTAGTCGCCGCTCGTTGGTTTCTAGGTCATGGACGATAGAAAATCTATCACCCTTACCATTCGGGTAGAATACCTGGAGAATTCATTATGGAGCTTACACACAGTTCAAAAATATAACACAGCAATATCTGACTATTACCCTGCAAATACCCAACTGCCCTGGTATGCCAGACTTACTGGAAGGACCAAGTCACAGTACGGTTCATCAGCCGGAGGCTTGCTTCTCAGAACTGTAAGAACCAACATGATCCCCATATTGGTACTGTAAATATTACACCTGACCAATGGTGAGAAGTCTCGATGAAGGAAGGTTGGGAAACGAGATTGCCTACGCTAAGGATCTACCGAGCTGACCCAAGGAATTGCCAATTTATCGACAGGACTTTTCACCCGTTGAGACAGCAAAACAAAATGGAGCAAGCTCCCGGTTATACACTGTCTTCCTACCCCGGGTTTGTGTCCTGCCGGAACGTCAAGGGTAAAGACAAGGGTCTAGTGGGTATCGACCTGGGAAAACCCAATAAGGAGACGATGCAACCTGTACCCTGTACCGGCACAGGAAGAAATTGTCAACATGGTTAGGGGATGCAAGTTTATCTCTGCCCTAGATGCTTGCAAGTTCCTCTACCAATGGCCAGTGAAACCGAAGCATCGGAATACCACGAGGCATTCCAGACTTCAGACAAGGAAACCTTTTCAATAGATTCTTCCACCTCGCGCCACTTAGCCTCGTGGGCTATATTAGACATGAGGCGAACAATCACATGAAGCATACCAGCGGCATTTAACCACCGTCAGATGCAACTATCAATTTGTTCTGTAAATCGTTCGCTCCCATTGACTTCTGCTTGCCTGTTTTGTCTGCGTCTTTCTATGCTACAGTCTTAACTCGTCTTTGAGCTGTATTTGGCAGGGATTGAGTAGTGTGGCTTCTTACACTATCTGATAAAGGCCCCTAAACTAAACCCATCCCGTCCAGTGGAGGTGTTTGGCTTGGCTCCTTCTTGGTATACGTTGTTCCTTTCCTAAATGGTTGCACACTAGTTTAAAGACCAAGATAGTTTCTAGAACAAGAATGAATAAACAAGGGCTAGCTCTAGTGGAGCGCTCGACAGAAGAATGGGGAAGGATCAATTTTACTCAAAGACAACCTCCATTCAGTACTGGAAGATTTCTTGCAACTATAAGATAAGCCCCTAAAGGTGTTCTCCAGGATAGCAAAGACAGCCTACTACCCAGTAGGATACCTTTAAGCCGAGGCGTATCCTTCTACTCACATTCTCCAGGCGGGGATAACTTCGAATAATAGGAGCACAACAGTAGTAATACGTTGTCAAAAGATTAAATTATGAATACAGTCAAATGAGGATGCACAAATGCAAGGTATGACATACAGTAAGGCTCGGAATTTGTAACAAACACACCACATCCAACAACGCCCCAAACACCAAGCTAATCTATCAAATGCAGAGAAAGGTCTATACAATAGCGACCGTAGAGCCAGATGAAGCAGGCTTCGCCTTGTCGACGTGAATATCCATCTCACGAATATCCCCGCTCTCGACATCGAACCCAGCAGTCTCTTCCTCGAGCCGTTGTTGGCGCTTGTACATCTTCCAAAAGACAACACTACCGTGAACCTGGGCTGCGGAAAAGGCAATATGAAGCAGCGGGGTGACGACCTTGAAGGCAATCTGCCATCGGTCCCACAGGGAGCCGAACAAGAAGAAGATAACAATGGTTTCGCAGGTTGTTCCGAGGGCTGTGGTGATGCACGATAGGAGGAAGAGGCGTTTGAGGAAACGGTGGCGGTTGGGGAAGACGCGGTAGAGGATGATGGCCAAGTGGGGGAAGAATTCTGATATGATGTCGAAGGCACCTGATAGAGAATACTATTAGCCTATGTTTGTAGAATATAGCGGAGAAGGGTAGAGCATAACTTACCCCATACTGTACACAGGACAAACTCAATGTCAGCATCTGGCTCTCGGGCCAAATCCAAGCTGATTGCGATTGCGGATTGGCCAATGACAATTGTCCCGATGTGATGTAGCACAGCAATAGGCGACAGTTTAGTACGGTAAATCAGCTCGAACGCGTACATCCCGATGAGCATCTGAGAGACCACGACCAGCATGTCGCCCATTGTCACCCGGGAGCCATGTGCGTAAGGTGTGTGGAAGGATGATTTCCCAATGACAACCTCGAGGAAAGGGTATGCGGCGACGATTAGAATGAGGATCTTCGTGAGACCGGCAATGTGGTGGTTGATGAACCCGCGTCGGTTCACCTCACTCAGGTTCGTATAGATAGAGCCATAGAGACGTCTGATGAGAAACCCCTCCAACACATAATACCGTACCAGAAAAAGAACGACGAGTACTATCGAAATGATGAGAGCGGAAAAAGGAGCGAGCTTCGAGATAGGCTGCAATTTCAGAGTCTCGAGAGCAGAAATGTCATGGTGATAATGTATTGCCATTGTGGCTTCCAATTGCTGTCAACGATGATGGGCCCCTCGGCGGATTGAAGACCATTAAAAGCAGGAAGAGAGTGACGGGTGAAAGGGGAGTGTTATTAGAATGACCTTGAATAAAGGATTGATGGGGTATACCAAGAACGATGAGAGAAAAGGAGTGTAGGCGGAAACCAACAATGAGCAATGACCAAATCCCATCAATCGACTTACATGAGTCTGCACAAGCGTCTATAAATGGAAAGTTGGAAGAGAGAAAAAAAGAAAAAGGGACAACGAACGGCGATAGTCAACCGAGGGAGATCTCCCTCTGATCGAGATACCCCGGTTCTCGTGGGAAAGCCCCCAAACGAGTCCTGGATCTTAGTGAGACTTAGTAGCCCACCGCGTTACTACTAGTACGGAGTAGGCACTTTGCAAATCAATCTCACCAGTGCTACTCGTGACAGTCTGGCCAGGGACGATAATGTGGTAGCCTACGCTGGGTTGCCATGCTGGTGGAGACGACTGGTATACACCCATTTTCCACGACGCCCCATCAGCGCTAACTTGACAGGCTACTATAGTTAGTGTCTTTCTCACCCAGGGGCCAAAGAGTCCAGAAGTTCTTTCTGACAAGCGGTCTCGCCCAAACCTTCTGCAGGATGAGAAGCGTCTTTAGTATAACCTCTTTCGGGGCGCAGCCTCGTATCACTGACATTTAACAGCGCAATGGGTCCGTTGCCTGCTGATCCTGCACCGAATAAGGGCCAGCCAAGCTTTCAGGATCCACCGAAGAAAAGCTTCGCCTCCGCAAGTTGATGAAGTTTCGATTTTTTTAGGCAGTAACGTTCTAGGGTTAGGAAAAGTCCACGACTTGATTGGAGGAGAGGTCCCGTGCCGCCCTGGCACGTGCTGGTCCCCCACCACGCCAAACCGCCTGGACTTCATTTCATTCCAACCCTCAGTTGAGTAGGACAGGAGGAACCACGGTCCTGCTCCAATTGCAGAACCGTGCGCCGTAATATGTCCTCAGGGGCTACACACACTACGAGTCGGTCTGAGAATTCAAGTCGGCCCCGACTCCATGAAAATATTCTGGACCCGAAGTCTCTTTCCCAGGGTAAACAGAGAAAAGAAAGACCACCACGCAATCACTCAGAATTAACAATACTAGGAATAATGTCTAAACTGTCTCTGGCAGTGCTGGCTTGGTGAACATAATCATCTCCATCGTTAAGCCATGGCCAAATGCGACTGCAATCACCTTGTCAGCTCCCTTGCCAGACGTAGATCCTTCCCCCTGATGTCCTTCGTCTTTCACACCACTCTCACGTTCGTTTTTGAGTCGATTCAAGATGCTGATTACAGTGCTGGAAACAGTGTTACCGCCATCACTATATGCCTCAAAGGCCTTGCGCAGGTTATGCGCCGACAACCCTAGTACCTCCTGCGCAGCAAGAAGAAAAGCGTATCCGCCGGGATGAAAGGCCCAATCGTAGATCTCAGGGCTGTAATTACTGGGCTCAGAGGCGACACCAGGCGTCGATGAAATTAGATTGGTAAAGCCCCCATGAATGGATTGGCCAATGACAAGGGGAATCTTCTTGTCAATCTTGGCCACATATCCTGCGAGACATAGGGGTTAGTATCATCAATGATCCGATGCAGCTGAGAACGCACCATTGGGGCCAATTTTAAATTCCCCCAGCCCTTCGGACCCTTCCAAATGAGTTGTTTGGCAATTCAACACATCCCAGACAGGGACACGTTCCTCTTGCTTGACCCCGATGCCGTTGCTGAGAACAAGCGCAGCCGCACAATCCCCAAAGAGCCCGAGGGCCACATTGGGTCGTTGCTGCTGGCTCACGGAGTCCAGCTCTGCCCGCGTAAAGATCGTAGGCAACTCGCAGCAAATGATGAGGGCTCTTGCCGCCTTCCCCTGCTGCGTAGCACCCAGAAGCATCTCCTGTGCCACGCGGATCGACGCAAGGCCACCCCCACAACCCACCCCATGCAGAAGGGCTCGGCGGGTGTTGTTACGCAGGCCGAGCTTCTGGCAAACTAGCCCATCAAACCCGGGGTTGGAGGTATTAGTACAGGTCACTGCGACCACATGGGTGATCTCCGCCGACCGACCACCCCAGTCCGCAATAGCTCTGTTACAAGCATTGACCGCCAGTGGGATGCCATATTGTTTAAACAGGGCATCGCATTCGCTGATGGTCGGGACCTCACGTTGGTGCCAGTATTCGTGGTCGGGGTCCAACACGCTGTAGCGATGCTCTATTCGACTTTTCCGGTTGATTTCCAAACTCTTCTGCAACCTATTCGGAGTAAGAATTGGTGATTAAACGGTCTCAATCAATCAGAGGAGAGATCAGTGCTGGGGTTTTCAGCCTTACGCCGGGGTGAGATCATAATGTCGCTGAGCCAACGCCTCCGCAAACTCCGGTCCCTGCTTGGATGGGGGATATTCCACCCCAATTCCCATCACAGAAACAGCTGGTTTCGGACCAGACCCGAGCACATCGGTTACAGTCATGATGGATCAGCCGTTGTGGATAGCAGAGAGTGTAACTAGAAAGGTTTATCCGTGAGTATCAATGTTACTGGGAAGCAATGCACAGCATATCAAAGTCCAGCGCTTGGGCCTTTTAACTGGCCTCGTCTAGGAGCGAACCATACATGTGGACATGTTACATTGAGCTTGACTCAGGGTGAGCTGGGCCCATCCCACGTTCTAGATCCCTTTGCTGATGCAAACGGGTAGATTCACAAGGTTTATCATGCTTTTATCGTTCACTTCGTAATGATCATCATTGCATTACATATTGTTCGATCAGATCCTCTTAATCTGGCGTAGTTAAGAGTGCAAGAGTGGGTCCCCGAAGGTAAGAGATAGCATCGATTTAGAATTTAGTCAGAGTTTTATGGCGTCTGAGCATTTGTTTGGTTACTGAGGAGATGTCTTCATAGATACAACCCCGTAGATGAAGTGCTACTCCATAGTTACACTGAGCTTTCGTTTTCGGGCGTCTTGACGTTGAAGACTCACGCTGGTTAGCCTCCAAACGGCGCCCACCATAGTTCTGTATATTTCTCTGTGCGATTGGCCGTGACTACTATTAGAGAGACGATGCTCAATCGACACATTTAATCATTGATCTACATCATAGTTCACCCCCAAGATTACATGGCGATCACATCATCACCACTCCAGAGATGCACATCAACCAATAAGCGTGTGGCATGTACACTCCAGTGTGATGTTACATGTACATATTTTACTATTAGCATTCGGTGGGACAAATCTATTTTTTGCCAAAGTATTAAGAAAGAGGGATAATACACGCTATTTCAACAATCATTGGTAAAAATCACGCCACAAAAGCAAGGGGAGTCTGGAATGAACCAGATATACTTTGTATGGTATGTGCGCGAGATATTCTACCATTGAATAATTTTATCAATTACACAACATATCTTTGCAGTAATGGTGAATGTGGAGTTAATACAATACAAGCTCTTTAAACAAGGGTTAAATATGTAAATTCCATAATGCCGGAATAAGGCTATCAGCCCCAACCTCAATAGTGTATCTCTTCTCAGTCTCTTGATTTTTATTATTCATGAAACATCTTATGTCTGGGGATTCTCTCTGCATCAGAAACATATACACGTAAACATATGTATTCGACATGATAGTATCCCAGACTGAGAATGTGGGGCTCGAGACCACTCATCAGCAACCGCACATCGTGACTGCTGTAGGTGAAGATGAAGACTATCTCAAGTGGAAGCCCGCACGGGAGGAATTGTTGATCCTAGCTTGCCTCGCCATCGTCTCGTTGGTTGTGGCCCTCGACGCCACCATTCTTGTCCCAGTTCTCCCGGTCAGTTTATATGACTCTACTCAATCATGGTTTCGTGTCTTATCTGATGGAATATGGACGGTCCCAGACAATCGCGTCAGACCTGCACGGTGATACAAATGAATCATTCTGGGTAGGCACAGCATATCTCCTTTCCTGTGCTGTGTTTCAACCGCTTTTTGTTGCCCTCTCGACTGTCTTCGGCCGACAGAGCATACTATTTCTATCATTAGTTCTATTCACAGCAGGGACATTGATCTGCTGTCTCTCCCACGGGATGACCCAGCTTCTGGTCGGCCGCACCGTCCAAGGAGTTGGGGGCGCGGGCATCCTGTGCCTGACCTTTGTCATCACGACCGATATCATCCCCCTCCGTCAACGCCCGGCATACTCGTCCATTATCCAGGTGGCATTTGTGGTGGGAACAGTGACCGGCCCGGTTATCGGTGGATTGCTCATCGACCACAGCACCTGGCGCTGGGTCTTCTATTTGAACTTTCCCTTTATGGGTGTTGGGCTCATCATGGTCCCGTGGGTGGTGAACCTACGGAGGCCAAGGCAGGACGGACTCACCCAGCAGCTCCGATCAATCGACTGGGTAGGAGCCCTACTGTTTATTGCTAGTGTCTCAAGCTTCTTGATAGGCATCACATGGGGTGGTGGCCAGTTTCCCTGGTCCAGTTGGCGCACTTTGCTTCCCATCTTCCTCGGCGTGGCGGGAGTGATCGTTACCGTTTTCTGGTTGTGGAAGGGGGCACGAAAGCCATTTCTCCGTCTGAGCTTATTCCAAGATGTCTCCTCGGGGATGATCTACCTTTGCGCCGTTCTTCAGGGACTGCTGGTAAGTATCCTTGTCGTGGGTGTTTTCCATGTCCCTTTCTCTCTTCCTCGACCCGTCCCCCAGATACTCTCGGTATTGGCGAGTTGACGGCTGACTTCTGTTAGATGTTCTGCGAGCTCTATTCCCTCCCACTGTACCTCGAAGGACCAAAAGATATGTCCCCAACAATGACCCACTCGGATCAATACATGTGCCATTTTTGACTTTTTTATTTGTCCCTGTATTTCTGGTCGGTACATTCCAGTAATTTATCTTGTCCGAAGCACTGTAAAGCAGATGACGAAGTACATTATGCAAGCGGAATATACTACACATACTACTAGTTAAGAGACGTGAAGTTTATCCTGTGCTTTTGATCAGGGATGAAAAGTATGGGTTGTCTAGAGTATACGAGGACATGACTTCCACTTAATATGACATCTTGTGGGGTCAGATATCTATGACTCTGGCATGAGAATCAATAAAATGCAACACGACACAAGTATGCATAGCGGAAATCACTATTCCCAAAAGGTCTACCATACAACCCCAACTCTGGTTCGATCTCTATTTATACAACGTCAACATTCCACGCCCTTGTGAACCCCAAGTCTCCCTCTATGCACCAACTCGACAGCCTGTCAGTTGCCTTATCTTATTCTGGACTCAGGTACTGTACAGTACGATCTCTTACGAAACAATATGATTATAAACGATATAAACTACTCTATTCCCTTCTGCACCTGGACAGTTTTTGGATCCGCAATCGGATCTCTCATAGCGATTGCCCTCATTTCCCAAATCTATACCTTCCAGGTCGCCACGAAGATCAGTCACAGGAATGGCTTGCCTCGAATATCGTCTCGAGATGTGTTTGGTAAGTGACGGGAGCATCTTTCTTTTTGAGGGCATACGTTACCAACACCAACGTCGCATGATCTCCAGGAATCGGATTGCTCGGTACAATAGCGCAGCAGATGAAAATCGATAGAGTGTTTGAATGGGCGAGTGACATGTTGAACGTCCCCGGCCGCACGGTCGACATGACTCTTTTTCGCCTGCGATTTATTTGGACTGATGCGCCGGAAAATACACACGCTCTGTTATCATCTCAAGTACTATATATTCCCCCATCGTCCTTCTCCTCCTGTCCATGGTTCTAATCTCCGACACGAATGCTAGTTCTCTGATTATGGCAAGGGCGACTTTGTGCACAAACTGCTAGGAAACCTGGGGGAAGGCTTGCTGGTGACTGGTATGTGTCTACTACCCATCAACACTGGTGATGCGCAACTCCATTGTTAACTACTGAAACTTTTCCCGGTCAAAGTGGACGGAGCGGATTGGAGGGCGAAAAGAAAAGAACTGCGACCTCATGTATGTCTGCTCCCCTACTTTTTCTTTTTGTATAAGCAACATTGACCTGGCTAACGGGATGCCAGCTCTCGACTCTATCCGAAAAGGACCGCGAAATCACGGAGCTTCACCTGCATCCACTCCTGGAACGGCTCTCTCAGAGCCAGGCCCCGATTGACGTCTTTGATGTGATTGATAAACTACAGCTGGATATCGCGATTCACCGATTCGTCGGCCAGTTGACCGATGCCGATGAGGCAGGCTACCAGCGCTTTCGAAAGGCGAAACGAACCTTGGCCGCTGCTGGGACTATGCGACCATTCCTCGGGTATGTTCGACACACACAATCCCCTGCAACCCGGATTGGACTCGTCTGGTGCTCATCTGATACTATAGACCGTTGGGGTTTCTTGTCAAGCCCATAGAGCGAACGGCGAGGGGCGATCTCGATATATACGTTCAAAAGCTACTCCAGGCAGCGGACCACTCTATCTTCGCCAAGAGTGAGGCCGAAATCGAGGTATGGAATGTTCGTTGCGGGGGCTTGTTAGATCAACCAACTGACTGCATGGGTTTCTGGAATGCAGCACCGCAGGGAGCTGTTGCTAAACCTGATTCTCGCCGGAAAGGTAAGCCTGCCCTCCCTTATTTTATTCGGTGTTTTGACATTTCGGGCCAGGATCCCACAGTCGTCACCATTACTTGGGCTATCTACGAACTTTCTCGCAACCCGGACGTATTGAAAAAATTAAGATTGGAGATTGCAGACATGTTTGCCATCCTTTCCCCTGTCACCCTTTGTTGATTCACTCTCCAGTAACATTTGGCTTTTTTCTTTAGAATTGGGTACGAGCAACTTCCGAGTCTTTCCTCATTGGACCGGATGCCATATTTGAATAATGTCATTCGAGAAACCCTCCGTCTGTACCCTCCAAGTGAGTTTGTCCACCTGGAGTCCCAAGCAGGTCCGCCAGCAAGAAGATAAGAGGCTGATTGTCGAACCCAGCGGGATTCAATTTCAGAGAAGCACTGCGCAACACAACGTTGCCCCGCGGTGGGGGAGCAGACGGCAGAGAGCCGGTAGCTGTTAAGAAAGGCCAAGTTGTCGGTACGATTCATGACAAATATATCTAATTATCGTTATGGGAATGAAACAGAGCACTGACCGATTCGCAGTTTTCTCAAGCTTTGGTCTGCAACGCCGGCCTGAATATGTGGGGCCAGATGCCAACTACTGGAGACCAGAACGATGGGAACATTGGACACCGCCAGAGGGCTCTTATATCCCCTGGGGAACGGGCCCACGTACCTGCTTGGGCAAGGCTTTTGGGCAGTTTCAGGTGGCCTATACACTCGTCCGGCTCTTTCAGGAATTTGATTCCGTTGCTGAAGTCAACCACGGCAAAAACACGGAGCAAAGGATTAGGTTGGAGGTCCTAGCTAAGCCTGCAATGACTATTTCCTGCCGGTTCAATCACGGTGACCAACTTCGTTGAACGGGGCCTGCTATGCTGGCCTAAACTGGGGGGGGGGGGGGGGGGAGGTGGTAGTTAGATCGTATAAGGATGATAAAGAGATCTGAACCTTGGTGTCTGAATGTTGACAAATACTCGCTGTCACCAAATATGCCTATGCTACCCTGAATCGGATCGTTGGTAATATTCTAAGACACTACAGTCTAGAACAAGAATGGCCAACCTGTGTTTCGCAATGAACGATCTTACGTTATGAACTGTATATATGTAAACACTACTCCGGATGAAAGTGGATTCACACGCTTCGCCATCTTAGACTCGTACACAAAAGTAAGCCTTAGCTGCTAACTAAACTTGGCTGTTCTGGTTCGACACTCCGTTGTAGAGTCAGTACAGGTAAGAGGGGCACTTATATTGGATGTCGGTAGACGGTACAGGAGTAATATAAGCACCTGTAGTGAGAGAAAGCAGGGTCGAATTCAGACAAAGGACTTCCTGGGAGGAAGGGACAGCAGGGGGAAAGGCTTATGGCTGATAAGGGAGCTGGCAAGTTGATTACGTTCTTTCCAGGGTCTTCTTGCGGAGAGGGCACTGCAGCTTGTCAGTCAAAGAATTGTAGAAAAGTATTAAACTGACAGAGCTAACTTACAGCATCCAAATATTGCTCTACCGCACTTCACTATTCTACGACCTCTAATCTATAACTTGCTACAATACACACAAGCCTACTAGCCCGAACAGACAGAATAGAACCAATATATTATTACTAAGATACACCGACTTCCGTAGATAGCTGACAAGAAAGAAAGCATGCTTGCACACGTACATATGAGATTGCGAATGTTGGAGAACAACACATTCAAATCCCCGAGTCATCCTCGATAGCAAAATCCTTCCCGCTCTGATAAGTCTCCCAGTTCTGGCAGTTCGAGTGAAGTGAGCCGTAATCAATCAAGTCATGGATCTCAGAGTACCGCTCCACGAATTGAATGGCAAAGCCTTCCTCCGTATGCCACCCAATATGGCAGTGCATCAACCACGCTCCGGGGTTATCAGTCACAAAGCCAATGACTAGGTGGCCATTTGCTGGAAGCATGGCCGTATCACGACGGGGAGGATTGTTCGTTGTGATGTCGCCTGCGCTGTAGGTTCCGCTTCCCTGGGAGAGGACGACAAAGTCATGTCCGTGCAGATGAATCGGGTGAGGCACGGATAGAGTGGTCTCGATGATGACAAAGGCCCATTCGTCTGCGCGAGGCAGCTGGACTACACCACTGGTGTTGGTAAAGGAGGTGTGGTTGCGATAGATCTCGAGGAGAGTTGGGTCCTCCCAGGCCACATGCATGGAGGTACTGTTGAGCTTCCAGCGATAAAGGCTCTGGGAGTTCTTGCCTAGGCTCACGGGCTCCGATTCATTGTATAGCGGGTTGGAGGTTATTGTGTAGGGGTTGACGATCGGTACAAGATTGGACATGTCTTCGTCATCGCAGGCATCTGTGTAGGAATATGCCGTTGTCGTGGGTCTCGATGGAGAAGAGCCGTAGTAGACGATTCCCTTGATATTGGTGGGGTTCTGGTTCTCGGAGCAGGCTTCCTGAGGGATGGCACGCAGCCAGAAGTTCTTGGCGATGGAGGCTTTGTCCGCGCGGACGATGATGTCGTAGCGTTGTCCTGTGTCCATGATCAGTGAGTGTATGGTTGGTCATTCTCAAGGTGGACTTACCCATTGCAATATCGAGAACGGTGGTATTATACGGTTCTATGGGGACGAGGTCGTTGGCGATGACCGTCATAGTATGGTTGTCGATCATGAACTTGAAATGGCTGTCGCAGGCTGCATTGACCAAGCGAAATCGATAGGATTCTCCTTCTGTGAAAGATGTATTCCATCTAGTACCTGTCTGATTGGCGTAACCGTCCTGTCCGAAGACATTCATTCCATTGATTAAGCCAGAATCCAGTTCAGGGGGGCCGTCAGCTTGTGCACTATCAAAGAGCTGGTCCACCGTATTGATGTCCCAGTCGTTGAGGATGATGAACCCCTTATCCTCGTCATAGTTGGCACTAGCAGGGCCATTGATCTTGATGCCACCGAACACACCCTCCCAAGCCTGGAGACCAATGTGCGAGTGGTACCAGGTCGAGCCGTACTGAGTCGCTCTCCACTTGTAGGTGATGGTGCTGTTCGGAGCTGTCGGGCACTGGGTGATAGATACTACACCGTCCGAGGGGTTCGTGTAGTGTTGGCGAATACCGTGGAAGTGAATGCTGGTGCCGTTTTTGACGGAGGTAGGTAGTTTGTTGTTGACATGCACGACCACGGTATCACCCCAGTCTGCTTCAATGGTAGGACCGGGAATAGAGCCATTGATGGCTAGGGCGAACCGGGACCGCCCATCGGGAGCCACGGTGACATGTTCGAGGTCAAACCAATATTCTCGAGTGACACCCGTGTCCGGAGTGGTAGTGGTATAGTCTGTATTGATATCATAGGTACACCATTGCTCACGATTGCGGGCAGTGTTTCCTGTGCAGGCGCCAGAGGAAGATGTACTAAGAGATGCTGAAGCAGAGAGCGACGCAGAGACAGAGTCTCGAACTAAGAACGAGGGGACATTTGTGGCAGTAACAGCCACAATACTGGCAAGTATACAAAAGACGGACGATCTCATGTTGTATCCCACCGCTAAAGAGTGTTGTAGGTTATAATAACAAAAGAATGACAATGAGTGGATGCATCCAATTGTTATTCAGACATTGGAAACAGCTGCTTATATTCTCAAGCGCAGAAGTCACTATCCTACAATCCTCGTCACTGCCATATTGGGATAACAAGCCAAGCACAACTATCACATTCCCTAACAAGGATCAGCACATATTGGCAAGAACCCATTGGCCAGCTGAAAACTGGCCCATCGAGGTACGTGGACGAATGACACGATCTATGGAGACGAGCTGAAAAGCCTCCACATATCAACTTTACGTAGACTGGAGTAAGGCTGAGTGCTCGTTGGTAAGTTCAGTATCTGTCCACAGAGACCGAATCCCACTATTCCACACATAGAGCGTCGGTAGGTGGAGCTGATCCGCTCTCTCCCAAGCTTTGGCAACGGGGAAATCAGGAGAACGAACTGCGCGGATCAGCACCTAGCCGTCCAATTGTATTTTCTGGCCGATAAGCATTTTCTATAATTATCTAGACACAAACTATCAATTGAACGATTATCTCGCAGCGTAGTCATTCCCCACGTTTGTAGAGGAACGAATCACTTATGCACAGGCATGACGCAGTAGATGTATCCTATGACTGTGACGGGATAGTTCTATACACTGTTGGAAGCTCCTCATGGAGTCTACAAATGTTTGTTTTATTCTTCATACCATAGAGCTAACTGGTCTCCAGCCCTAAGAGAAAGACAAGATCCTAGTCATGGCTGAGGCACAAACGTCAACGACGCGCATTCTCCCGCCGACGGATCCACTCGAAAGCTGATCCACCATAGACCAAGATTTTAGCGATCAGCATAGAACCCTCTATTCCGGTTAGTTGCATACGTATTCCTCATCGCATGGAGTAAGGCACCACTCAACTATCGCGATTTGGGCTGGTGTGGGGTGAACCAAACGGCGATATTTCAGGAACAGACATGTATAGTCCGAAGTATAGCGACGGCGACATGCCGAACCATTGACTCAGCGGGATCTAAAATCACCGACACAACCTATAGCTTTGCGTATTCGCCTGTCGCTAAAAAGCAGATATGTGGGCTAGAAGCATCGAAAATGATGCAGCCATAGAGGAGGTCTATCCAGCTGAAGGAGCCCCCAATTTATCATAAGAAGATTGGAACCCGGTTTCCCTGGTGGACATTCGTACCAAATTCCAATCGCTCCAGTTAGCATTTCTGCCGGGGTCTCAATAATCTTCAAGAAATATGTTGTCTTTCAAGTCACCTCTCTGGTTCGTTTCTTTGGCAGCAGTGGTCGGTACGGCCTCAGCTGCCCAGAAGTTTGGCCTTTACGCTTATGGCGAGAATGTAGGAGGGCTGCCCCTTTACTACGTTGATGGTAAGTAACATCAGCTTTTCCTTGTCTCGTAGGATTCTGTTTGGGATATACTGAGCCACATGCATAGGTAGCGCCGTCGTAAGTCCAAAGACTCCCGAAAACGGGACCAATGTAGCCCCGGTTGCTTGTAAGTCGCCATCCCCTACAACTATCCAAGTCAGTCTAACAGACCCTTCAGTCCACAAGGATAGCGATAACGAACTTATCGGAAATCCAAATACAACCAGCACTGCCTCTACGCCCGCTTTCACGGACGCATCACTTTTCGTTCCTGGCCCAAACTCCAATGACAAGGAGATGGGGTTCACAAGCGATCCTTCCTCAAACCAAGTCACCAACAAGTTTGTCTGGTACGGTAACTTCCTGCTTGTCGAGAATGGCTCTGGGGAGTATACCTCGTTGTTCTCCGTCAAGAAAAGCTCGACGCACGATGAGGATGGAAGCTATGATCTTTACTGGAACGTGACGGACTCCGATGAAGAGGTTATCACTATTTCCATGCGGTCGGTTGCGCCTTCTAATAAATAGAGCTCCTTCTACGTCGGAAGAATTCGTGGCCGTCTGCTAGGCTGATAGTGGCGGCTGTGTGTGGGTGATACAGTACTGTCTTTCTCTTCTTATAACCACTTGGCTTCCTTCCTTTGTATTTCTGAAATAACATTGAGTAGTCGCCACTTCTGTAGACATTCGTATACATAACAATATTGGCAACGAGTTATATGTATTTGAAATATGATAATTTTGTGGATGATGTTCATGTCCACTTGACTTTGCAATGGGTGAAAGCCTACACAATGTATCGAAAGCTGCGGTTCTGGATATCCGTCTCATCAGCATGGTCCAAGGCCTCGTCCGTGTGCAGGTCAATTTTTCGGGTTTCTTCCGGATCGATATACACGCCGTGCTGCTTATCACGTCGCCGGTTTTCCCACCCCAAGTAGACCCGAAACACAACCGCTGAGGCCATAGCTATAGCATAACAAATCACAATGGTGGTATAGGCAGTCTATTAATAGAGCGCCGCGTCAGCATTCCTTTCACCACATCAATCTACGACTCGACTATGACTTACAGGGTAGTACGGTGCTTCCGAGTTTTTGAAAAACTGGGGACCGATCAGGTTTCCAACACAATAGCCCACAAAAATCAATGCCGCAACGGTCGACTTTTTGGTAAACCCGGCTGTGTTGCTTGCGTGGAGGGACAGCATGAGGGGGAAAACTGGAGCGATTGCCGAAGACATCCAGTACCCGGCGAGCCGGGACAGCTTTTGCTCTGATGGAAGCAACTTGACCATCAGGATACCTGCAAGGGCCATAACGAATATCATGATAATTGCAATTAAACGGGACTTGCGGACGTTCGTGCAGAATATAGCTGCCAGTAGGACCACGACCAACTGAAAGGCCGACGCGGGAAGACCCATAAGAATGGTTTGATATTTATCGTAGCCAAAACCAGCAATCAGCAGAGATTGGAACTTCTATGTGTCAGCGTTCTGCCCAAAGCACAAGGCCAATGAAGAAAATCGATTCTAAAAGAACGGCTATAGCCCTAGCCTAGGATATACATACGCTAGTCGTGCCCCCATTTGGAACACAGATGACGAATGAGAAAATCACTAGCCACCATGTTTTAGGATCTATGAGAGATTCAATGAATTGATTTCGGTTCCACTTTTTCGTTTGAGTTGTTCGTTGAAATTTCTTCGGTCGTAGAGAAGCAAATTCACGTTCGGAAGAAGAAAGGAAGTGGGCGTTCGAAGGAGAGTCTGGCAGGTAAAACCACAATACAACCGACCACGCCACAGTTATGAGGCCGAAAATAAGGAACAGCATCTACATTCTTGGTGAGTTCGTGTACAGGCAAATTAAGGCGTAAGGGGAGACAAACCTTCCATTGTGGGAAGTGATCCCGATAGTGGGCAATGCCGTAGGCAATCAGCGACCCGATGATGCTGAAACTGGCATTTCCTGCGAACCAGAATGTGTGGCGAGAAACGTGCTCTGATGGCGTGTACCACATCCCAGTTATCAAAGAGAAGCCTGGGCTGATAGCGCTCTCAAACACGCCCAGAAAGGTTCGCAAGACCATGAGTCCGGCGTAATCTTTAGCAAGAGCATGGAAAGTCAAGACAACGCCCCAGAGAAAACTAGAATGTCTCAGCGAGATGAGATCAGTATCGAACGACTCAACTCACATCAGTAAGCTAAGGTATTTCCCCAGGGGAAATTTGACGAATCCAAAGGAAATTGGATACGACGCCGCGAGATAGCCGATGTAGAAGATACTGGAAGCCCAACTGTATTCTTGCCCGACAAGGTTCTTTCAGTAGTCAGTATAAAGGCAAATATCTGGCATCCAGGGGTCTAATAATAACATACTAGATCCTCCTTCAATCCAAGGATTGCACTGTAAGATAGACTTGTCTCTGTGGGTTCTATAAGCATACACGCCATCTTCATTGGGTATATAATAGTATACTGACTGTCCAGAAACTGAAGGCCATAACTAATGATCAAGAGTGGCATCAAACTAATGATGTGAGTCAGAGAGGCCCTCTATACATGTCACGAAAATGACTGACTGGAAATCGATCTTCCTCACCAGCCTCTTTTCCTCTTCCGGGCCAAGTACGTCAACCGATCCACGTTCTTTCTGTCCGTCGACTGCGTCTGAGGGCGCGGTACATTTTGTGTCCCGGTCAAAACTAGGTCGAGGGTTTTCTTCCATGACCGACAACAAGGGCAGAAAAATTAATGAACTCTTCCTTGTGATTGCCGGTGTGTAACGTTGACAGTCGATGTCAAGATAGGCGAGAGATGGAAGAGTCAAAATACGGGGATGGGCATCCTGATTTTAAGCAGGAATTGATAAGGATAGAGAGACATTGAACTTGGGATATCGTGGCTAAGAAAGGAGACTGAGAAAGACTCGGCTCACGCGTTGCCATTTGGTTGGGTTCATTGCTGGCAATCAACAGCCCCCTTGCTTTGAATCATTGTGGAGATCATGCCCTCCACCGGCAATCAGGACGAAATGATTGGCTTGTTTAATCGACGGGAGAGGGCCGAGGTCGGGGCGAAGCGTCAGTGGCGGACTTCCCGACTCCGGCAGTAAAAAGACCGTCTCCACCCCCGCAAATTATGGGCAAACCCCAGCCTGTTCGTTTTCACCACAAAAAGACCCTTTCACTCGACAGGGCTTCTCGTGACAGACTACCGAGTCGCCAATTGGATGACATTGGCCAACCCCATGAAGGATAAGTTCATTGAGGACACCAAGACTGCAGGGATGCCAGGAGAAAGGGGAGAAAGAAAAAGGCCAACTGCAGCAGCTAAACCGTCTCATCACGGCTCACCACCAACTATTCGTCGGAGGATTTGCATGGTTACTGGTGAATGTCTCTTTGCTTCCTGCACGAGCTGAAAGACTCTCTTAAGTGCGGGGTCTGAAAGATGCGTTATGATCCACCCTCGATGTACAGGATCGCGTGTCTCCAACCCCCCAATGAATAGAGACCACTGGAACCGTTCCAGCAATTGGGCGGACCCAATGGTAACTGTATTGTACGCACAAGTGATTAGTGAGCTGAGAGCGCAGCGGACTTCTTCGGGTACAGGATCTGCGCCGAAGGCGGATTCGCAGCTCCGGTGAAGGTATATTTGCAGAGCGAAGAAAAAGGTCACAGTAACACACTCCATCAAAGATGGACGGCAAGTGCCCAGTGGCTCGTTATTTGCGACCAGTGAAAAGATGCAAGAGTATTCCTGTTCTAATCAGTCAAATCCTACGACACTTGACAGCTGTATATGCGATCGTATGTACCTTTTTCAATCCCTCTAGGTGCTGCTTTAGCCTTCGTTGATCACTGCACCGGTGCAGCATCCCGGCCTGGCTGTAGATATTAATTTCATGGTGAATGGTAATGAGCGTGAAATACAGGTCCAATATCGCTGCTTCATGGATCTCTGACAAGCTCCCACTAGGAAACCCTTGTTCTTCCGGGAACAAAAGAAATACGGTCCGCGAGAGCCTCCAGATTTTACGTCTCTTAGAGTAGTCATCATTAACAAATGTAGCGAAGGAGCCACCGCACCCGAAGAAGGAGCAGAAACCGTCGCGATCGTATAAATATGTAAATATTCGCGCTAGAAGGACTTGACCTGGAATTAATAGTCCAGCAGCGAAAGCCTCTGGGAAGAGATTCACGCCATCATTAATGCAGAACTCATCCACCTTGTGGGTCCGCACGTAGTTCACTACTGTTTGACTCAATTCCCGCACCTTTTGTGGGACTGGTTGGTCGCGACGCATCCAAAACATATACATGTACAAAAAGGAGAGCATCATGTTAACGTGATCAGGAAGCCCTCGCGGGGTCAAAGCGTAGCGGAGCAACTTTGTACCTTGGTCGAAGTGCTGATAAGACCTTTGGGGTAGAACGAGCCCATTGCCATAGTACAGCGAGAGCTCACTATGAGCGACCGCGAGGAGGAAATGAAGCGCCATTTGCTTGTCCATGACATAATTGACGAAAAGGGATTGAGCTGATTGAGTAGGGGCGCGTGTTGACTTCATTGGCCCGAAGATCGTCCGATGGAAAGACAATGCCTGCATGTCATCGACACCATATGTTGGGATGCTTCGTGTGTAATTCATAACTAGCAAAGGTATAGGATCCAAGAGGCTGTTTGCAGGGTAACCATGTGGCGCGTCATATTCTTCATAGGTGTTAGATTGGACCCCCCGTCTAGTATCCGGAAGACATGGTGTGAGTACGGGTATAATAGGCGAAGGGCTTCCCACTGGTTCTAAGAGGAAGGAGTCCTTGGGAATGAAAGACAGTAGGGACGACGGAATATCCATTTCTGGCGCTGATGTCTGGACCCTGGAATGAGCCTTAATACCTACTTCTTCATATTCGTCTTCGTTCAATATCGATGAACCTAATCCGCTTTCCTGGGAGGCCAGACTGATGCTGGATACTTCACATGGCTGATCAGGTAGCTTTGAATGTGGTAATATCGGTGGTGGAGTCCATGAATCGCTGTTCCTATGTTTTATTGGGCCAAAACCCCTCCGTCTCGAAGAGAGAGGAGGTCGCGGGGTTGCCCATTCGCACACCAACTGAAGTCGCACACATCGTCCACAGACAGGACGCTGTTCGTCACATTTGACCCTTTTGCCAACACAAGTTCGACAGCCTCAATTTCAGAACCGTGTCAGTATTGCTAAAATGGAGCATTGGTCTCAGCGCGGATAAACAGTGGTTGAACTCACCATCCTTTGAACGTTTGCCGCGCTCGACGCGTTTCCGACGGGGTCGAACGGCATCGCCCTGATCCATTGAGCCTAGGAAGATAATCTACCCCGCATGCCAGTATTGTTTGACTTTCGTTGAAGCTCTTATCGTTATTAGGACGGGGAAGATACGGAGTAAAGAATGACTCGTCAAGCAGGTGTATGGGATTATTACTATCAAAGCCCGCCTCCACATTTTTATCTCCCGTGCCGGTCGATTAGAC